AGGAAGATTCCAAGTTCAAGGCCAGCCTGAGCAATTAGTGGGACCCTGTCTCAAAAAATAAAATAAAATGAAATAAAATATCAAAAGGGCTGGGGATATAGCCCAATGGTAGAGCAAGCACCACTGGGTTCAATTCCCCTCCCCCGCCATGACAACCAGCCCTGGGTTCCCCCCGGTTTCCTCCTGTGATCCTGAGACACTGTCCTGGGCTTCCCAGTGGTTGCAGATCATCTTACTCCTCTGTCCTTGAGGTCCTGGTTTACCCATTGTTATATACAGCTCCAGGTGTTCTGGGTCCTGATAATGTCCCATCAGCTGGCACTTCAATACCCCTGGGAATCTACTCTAATGGCCATTGTGTCCAGTCAGAAAGTGCTCTGGAGCTGGGTGTGAGGGGACACCTGTATTCTCACTAGTTGGAAGACTGACGCAGGAGGATCACTTGAGGCCAATGATATCCAGGCAACATAGTGAGACCCCATGAGAGAGAGAGAGAGAGAGGGAGGGAGGGAGGGAGAGAGAGAACCTTAGCATGGTCACACATGCAAAGTCCCTTTCACCACGTACAATCATGTAACCATAGGTTTTGGGGGATTAGGGCAGGGATGTCTTTGGAGCCATTATCCAGCCCACCCCAGTCATCTAGGATGCCCTCCTTGCCCCTGCTGTAATGTCCCCATTCTGATCTGCCGTCCTTCCTGCTGGCCTGCTGGCAAAACCGGATGTTCTTCTGCTCCTTATAATGGCCTCTAGCTAAACTCTCCCAGGGTCTCCCCTAATATTCCACGTAAGGTCCTTCCCTCCTGCCTGCCACAACAGAAAAAGGCCTGCAAGCTCCTTGATGCACACTGGGTCCCCTTCCTAGGGGCATGTCCCCGGGCTGTAGTAGAACACCCTTAGACATTCACAGGGACTCTCCAGGATCCTGCTGGGATCCTGTCCCCAGGGACTCACTCTAATATAGTGGAAGGTCCTTATGGTAGCATCATCTACACAATTTGCAGAGCATAGAGCAAAATGAAAATGTGGGGCCCTTTGTTTTGAATTTAAGGAGGTTCTACCTGGGCATTGCACCAAGCATGGATCTCTTTGGGTGGACCCCAGCAACTGCGTGGTGAGCTGTCCCTGGAGCCAGCCCACTCCCAGGGTGTCTGTTCTATGAACAGTTCCAGGCAGCTGTGAGCTGTTCCCAAGAGCCATGGGAACATCTGCTCTTCCTCTGCATCTGCACAGTAGTGCCTCCCACTGGCCCCACGAGGCCATTACACCGGAGCTCTAAACCAAATCTGACCCTTCCGGGTTTCCTCTCTGAGCCTTGTTTTTTCCTCTGAAAAATGGGGAAAATAATTATGCCTGTCTCATTTGAGAGGCTTTAGGGAGTCAAAGTCTGAACCTGGGGAACATAGTAGGGCATCAGTGGTAACTGATGGCCAGGCTGCTATCAAGATCCCCAGGGGTACTGCTAGATTGGGGACCAAGCCCTGGATTCATCTTGCTCCCTCTTGAATCCATCCCTTGGAGCCTGAACAATAAATATTCGTAGAATGAATCAAGGCAGTAATGAATGATTCCGGCTTGGTTTGATATGCCCCTAAAATTTCTCTAGAATGCCTTTGCTTTCCTGCTAGATCATGATAGCAGAATCTATATAACCCACAAACGATCTGTGGATCTCATTTATGTCATAGAGCCAGGACCTACTCCAGGACTTTGCCGCAGGTGGCTCAGAGCAAGGCCAAAACAGTCATAGGGCTGCTCAAACACACACAGACGCACCTGTGATCCCAGGGGCTGGGGAGGCTGAGGCAGGAGGATCACAAGTTCAAGACCAGCATTAGTAACTCAGTGAAGGCTGGGAATGTAGCTCACACACACAGAACCCACCCCAGTTTGATCTCCCTGTCCTCTACTCGGAGATCTCAGGTCCCGACTACACAAATTATTTACTACTTTACCTGTAGATTCAACTATCCTTGAATCAAAAGTATTTTTTGGGGAAAAAAAAAAAAACTGCATCTGTATTGAACCTGTACAGATTCTAACAGATTCTTTTCTTCTCTCCCTTTCTCCCTCCCTCCCACCCTCTCCTCCTTCCTTCCTCCCTCTCTTCCTTCCTCCTCAGTCCCCTGCACATGCTGGACAAGCACTCTACCTCTGAGCTACATCCTCAGCCATATAGACTTTCTTCTTCTTCTTCTCTGAATGACACAGTATAACAACCGCTTGTACAGCGTTTGCATTGTATTGGGTATTATAAGACATCTAGAGATGGTTTCAACTACATAGGAGAATGTGCAAAAAGTTCTATGTAAAAAATATGCCCTTTTATTTATTTATTTTATTTTGAGACAGTCTTCTTAAGTTACCCAGGCTGGCCTTGAACTTACCATCCTCCTGCCACAGCCTCCAGAATAGCTGGGATGACAGGCATGTGCCACTGTACCTGTCTATGCTGTTTTATATAAGGGACTTGATGGGCCGATTATAACATAACCTGGGTATTGCCACCATGTAATATCCACAGGGCCTGCTATAAGCTTCTGAGGTCCTGCTGTAGTAACATACTATCCCGGTGGCCTCTGGGCTGAATCCAGGGCTTCACATAGTATGAAACAGCAAGAACTGCCCTGTTTCCAATAGTGGGCCTGAAGCCTGCTGTCATTGCAAATCCAGGACCCTGCTTCAAAATCCTGCCTGGAATCTGGGCATGATGGCAAAAGTCTGGAATTCCAGCGAATTGGGAGGTTGAAGTAGGAGGATCATAAATTCAAGGCCAGCATTGGCAATTTAGCTAGACCCTGTCTCAAAATAAAAAAGGGCTGGGACCTAGCTCAGTGGTAAAGTTCACCTGGGTTCAATCCCCAATATAAACCAAAACCTGTCTGGAGGTAATCTCTCTGCAAAATGGCAGTGCAACTGGGATCTCCTGTAACCAGCGTGTGAGAGAATATTGCATCATCCTGTGACATACCACCAGGTCTTGCTCTAATAGTCCCAGGATTCTACAACTAGGGCTACCTGCCAGACTCTTGTCCTTCTGCTTGCTCAAAAGGACCTGGTCTTTCTGGGTGCAGTGGTGCACACCAGTAATCCCAGCGGCTTGGGAGGTAAGGCAGAAAGATCTCAAGTTCAAAGACAGCCTCAGCAACTTAGCGAGGCCCTAAGCAACTTATGGAGACCCTGTCTCAAAAATAAAACAAAAAGAATTGGGGTTGTGGCTTAGTGGTTAAATACCCCTGGGTTCAATGCCTGGTACCATAAAAAGGACATGGGTTTGCTGTTGCATGGAGCCTTTCTCTGACAATAGGCTCAGGGCTCTGGCATAATTATTGCCCTGAGTGTCACTAGAACTGGTTGTAGTCTGTGATCACATGAAAGCATGCAGCATCTCTCCATTGGGGTGGGGAGGCAAGAACCCACTTTACAGATTGGGAAATTAAGGCTCCATGATTGGGGCAGGTTGCCACAGTCTGGCTGGGCACAAATGCCGCAGTCTGGCTGGGCACACAATCACGAGCCACCACACAGCTTGTAGATTCAAACAGCAACTCTTTATTCCCGAACTCACACCAGCCGTCTACAAACACGTTCTGGGGAAATCCACGTTCTCTGCCCAAATCCACCTCCACTGGGCATCTGTCTCCAAAATATACTGTCTGAATCCCGTGAGAACTCAAGGGGAACTCAGGCAGCAAGATACGCCCTATTCCCAGCAGGAATAATCTTAAACCTTAAACCTGGAACCTAAACCGGGAACGCCCTAATCCGCCTTGGTCCTTGAGCAAGGTCACCTACATTCAATGTCACTGCAACATGGGGTACGCTGGCAAGGAAATTGTCATACCTACTTGGCTAATGGCTCCCAGCAGCAGGTCACTTGTTCAAGGTCACACCACCAGTGAGCTCAAGACCCAGCAGGCCTGCATCTGGGGGCTCCTTCTCATGTTCAGCACTTTTGGTTTCCATCATCCTGAAGCCTAGGGGTCAAGTGCACCCAGTGAGCATGAGAACTGGACTGAACTCCATCCATCCATTCTGTGACAACACATTTTGGAGCACCTCCGATGGGGATGCAGACTCCTGCCCACCTGGAGCTCACATCCAGCTGGCAACAAGACAGCTCACCACAGGGAAATATGCAATATCAGGATTTGTATGATAAAATTAGTGAGAATGAGGCTTCACTTGTCTACACAGGACAATAAGGCAGGGCAGGGTGACCCCAGGGCTAGAGGTTCTGCCAAATAGAATTAGATTGGTGGAAATTAAAGTTGAAGCCAGAGGCAGAGAGGGAGCCTCTGCGAAGGTGGCTGGGAACAGCAGAGGAAGGGTTTGGTGCAGGGGCTCAGGTCACAGTGGGAGAGCAGAGGGAGGGGATGTGCTCAGGCTGTGACATGGACCTGGGCATGTGTCACATGATTCTGAGTAAGGCCAGTCCTTGGTGAAAGAACTGTGGAGGGGTCCCCAGGGTCTTTATCCTTGGTCTTCGCAACCCACCAGTCCCGGCAGACACAGCAGGTCTGGCTCTAGCCTGCAGTCCAGGTAACCTGATGTGATGGGGTGCCAAGGAGACGCCCCAACGACTGCTGGGAGGAAACAGAGGAGCGGGCTGTTGTTGTAAACACAGCCGCCCCACCCGGAACGGAAGCACCTGTGGCCGGAGGGGGCCGCACCTCTGAGAGGCCTCAGATCCCTCTGGGTCTCTGTCCCCATCCCTGCCCCCCTCTGGCTGCATAGGGCCGTCTTCTCTCTCTGGGTCTGAGGACCCCTCTGTAGGTCTGTGCCCCTGTCTCTCCTGCTGGGTCTCTCCCCACCTAGCACAGCAGGGCAGGCTCTGCAGCTCGGGCGGTGCCCCCCTGACCTGTCCCTACCCCTTCCTGCCCTCTGATGGGAGCCCACTTCCTCTGGCAGGAACCCCCGCCCTCCCCGGCTTGGGTAAAAGGCAGAAGCTGGGCCCATTGGGTGCGGCGTCCCTGGAGGCAGCAGCAACTCCTTTCCTCAAGGCCCTGTCTCCCAACCCTTGTACCAGTGCTGTGCCTTAGACCCTGGTACAGGTCTGGGGGTCAGGGACCTGTGGACCCCGGCACCAGCAGGCCCTGTGGATGAAGGCAGTGGGGCAACTCAGCATCTCCCTGCGGACTCCGGCTGTGGCAGGTCTCTTACTAGTCCCATCTTTGCTTTCTGCCCTGTCCTTTAGTATTTCCAAGCAGCTGTTTTACAGATCTGCTGCCTGTGCACCTGTGGGATGCTCAAGGTCCGTCTCTCCAGCTGCTTCTGTAGTCCCCTTCTGCCCTTGCAGCCTGTCCCACTGAGCCTCTGCACCAGAGGATCAAGGACGCCCTTCTCAAAGGTGGGCCTTGTCTTTCCCCATTACCGTTCTACTCAGTATCTACTCCTCCCCTGACTCTGCAGCTCTTCCCAGTTGGGCTCTTTACTAGGGCTTCCAGAGCCCCATTCCTACACCTAAACCCTAGCATTGTAAAGCTGGGCTCCAGGTCAGCCCTACTTGGCCACCATCAGACCATGTACCCTGAAGCCTACTCACTGGGACTCCAAGCACAGGACTCGCTCTCTCCCAGGTTTGTTTCCTCATCTCTAAGTGGGTCTGGTGTTCACCTGGGCTTGTGTGTGGTCAGGGGAGGGCTCACAGGGCCCCTTGTTGGCTGTCAGGAAGACTGGAGGCCCAAGTGGAAGGCCAGACCCTCACAGTTCAGACAGTGGGCCCACTAAGCCTCCACAACAGAGGGCGGCTGCTTCCCCTTTGCCTCCTCACCAAGGCCAATGAGTCCAGGCCAGATTCCCCACCCTCCCTTACTTCCTCTCCAGAGACTGGGGGATGGGAAATCAGGTACCTGACACCAAGAGGTGACAGGGACCCAAACAGGAAAGGCAGCATCTCAATTTAGGTGGCACTGTCCACATCCAGAGATAAGGGCAGCAGACAAGAGGTGTGCCCATCCTCAGCCCCAAAGGCAATCCTTCCCTCTGCTGAGGGCACAGAAATCTCAAGTCTAGACTGTGAATTACAAAATAAGTTTATTTTGCTTTGGAGGGTGGGAAGGCATCCAGTCTTAGAACTTCTGGAACTGCTTCTTGGTGCCAGCTGCCTTGGTGACCTTGAGTACATTGAAGCGCACCGTCTTGCTCAAAGGCCTGCACTCGCCAACTGTGACAATGTCACCAATCTGGACGTCCCTGTGGGAACAGGCAGGAGCATGTCCTCAGAAGAGGTTACCTCAGCAGACCTCTAAAGGAAACCCTCTGTCCCCATCACCAGGTTGAAGGTGTTCCACGCTGTTTAATGTAACCCCATTCCAGCTCCAGCTGCCATTCAACCTGCCCCCTAGACACCCAGGACAGCCTGGCCTCGCTTGGTCTTGTGGGGCAGCATGCCTGTGGTCTCCATCAACTGAAATCTCCATTTCACAAAGAACAAAGGGAGGCTCCCAGGATTGGCCAGTGGCATCCCCCAGTGGATGGAGGATCCTTTGGGCACCTGAGCCAAGTCCAACACTGCCAGAGTCAGTGGCGACCAGCCCTCCTGTCAAGTAACCCCCGCTTTGTTCCCAAGTCATTCTTCCAGAAGACCCTCCCTTATGAGCTACTATCCCACTGCCCATCATCTCTCTCCACTGGTCTGGTGTCCTTCCTGCTCCAAGGTGCTCTCTGAGGAAGGACCTTACCCTTGCTGATCTCTGAACACTAAGTCTCTAACACGGGTAAGACATATACAAAACATGTTCTATGAAAAAGTACTTCAAACCAGGTAAGGTGGCGCACACCTGTAATCCCAGGGGCTCTGGAGGCTGAGGCAGAAGAATTTTGAATTCAAAGGCAGCCTCGGCAAAACCCTGTCTCTAATGCCCGAGTTCAATCCCTGGTACCAACCCACGAAAAAAGGAAAGAAAAAGCACTTCATTCTAACATAAATGTAACCCTGGCTAGCTGCTCCCTAAGGGACCACCGTGCTCACCTGAAGCAGGGGGACAGGTGCACAGACATATTCTTGTGGCGCTTCTCAAAGCGATTGTATTTGCGGATGTAGTGGAGATAGTCCCGGCGGATCACAATGGTCCTTTGCATCTTCATCTTGGTCACCACACCTGGGCAGAGGAAACAGATAAATCATAGATCAGTCAGGCCTCATAGGAAAGGGAACCAAGGGTTGCCCAGGGCATGCTGGGAATCAGAAGTTGCTGAGTAGGGTGCGTCCCCAAAAGCCCTGCTTCTGGCATCAGCTTTGCCAAGTGGCTTTTCAGCAGTACCCGTGGTGGGTATCTGAAGACCATCGTGAAAACAGACATCATCTGCCAGTGCCCTGAAACCAGGAATCTAGGCCCCAAGCCCCTTCATTCCAATAGTTCAGGCCCCCAGAATTCTCCACTCACCAGACAGGATCCGCCCTCGGATGGAAACATTACCAGTGAAAGGGCACTTCTTGTCAATGTAGGTGCCCTCAATGGCCTGAAAAGATAAGGAAAAGAAAGGAGTGAGCTTTGGACAAAAGAGGACTGAGCGTGTGACCTCAGGGACCCAAACTACAATTCCCAGCAGCCCAGAGGGTAGCTACTGAGAGTAGGCAGGGCAACCCTGCCAGGCACGTGGGCAGGGGCAAGGGAGTCTCATTTTCTTCTGGGAGTTCTCCCCACCTCTTTTGGTGTCTTGAAACCCAGACCAATATTTTTGTAGTATCGAGGGAGTTTCTCCTTCCCAGTTTCTCCTAGCAGGACCCTCTTCTTGTTTTGAAAGATGGTCGGCTGCTTTTGGTAGGCACGCTCTGTCTACAGGGATAAGAAGGAAGCTGGTGACTTTGCAAGCTTGGAGCAGATGGATTTCTGGCCTGAGGACCTTCCCCCAAACCTCCAGTATATACTTCCCACAGGCCAGCCCCAGAGGACCAGTGTCCCTGAAATATCCTCTAGAACACAGCCACCCACCATGTACCTACAATTCAAAGACGTCTCTAAGCCCAAGGTAACTTCAGCTTGCCTGCTCTAGAACACCTCCCACTGCCAGCCGAATTTAATCTCCAGGAACATACCTCTAACACCCTGGGCACCTTTCAGCAATAATTATTTTTAAAGACACAAAACAATTCACGCTGCATTCACTCCTTATTTAATCAAAGAGGGTTCAAATTTAGCTACCAAACGACGGCTCCCCGAACTCGCCCTTAGGACTCAGGGCCGCAAACATCATTTCTTAACCCTTGGGCTTTTGGATAATGGCCCCTAAAACGCTTGAATCTGTATTAATGTGAAGAGCCAGCAAGATTTAGGAAGCTGATATCTAAGCTTAAAGCAAACGTATATGGCCCACCTTAATTCATCCCTAGGAAATCGCGGACGCCCTGAATAACCCCAAACGGGGGCGCAAGGTCCTGGCCTCCCAGACCCGCCCCTTTGGCTGAGAGCGAGACCCGCAGATTCCGGGCCAGCACAGAGAACACACCTGAATGTCCGCCATCTTCCCGGCTGCCTGAAAAAAAAGAGAGCGACGGAAGCGTCCGGGTTTCCTTATTGATTGCGCAGGGGCTGTAGAGGAAGTGACGAAAGGGGCAGGGTCACACGGCTTTGGGCGGTGCCTCGAGAGCGACTCTGATTGACAGGCGGCTTTAACCAAGCTTGTGCATCGGAAACTGCAAGTGCGCGGCCATGATGGTGAAAGACTCGGGGGCGGGAAATGTGCACACTATCTCGCGAGTTTCAGGCTCTCATTGCTCCGGGAGCGTTAGTTCAGATTGGCTTGATTTGTGTTATCGCGAGAGTCGGGGGGAAGCCGTCATTTTCCTGAGGTGTAGGTTCACGTGGGATTTGGGGACCACGTGGCTGTAATCGGGTAGGCTTCAAACCAGGGGTGATGCGACCATCTTTTTTATGGGACAGGCCCCCTGCCGTTCCTAGAAGCATTGCGGCGGCGCCATCTTTGCGAGGGGCGGAAGCTGCCGGATCTTTTAGAAGTTGAATGAAAAAGTTACCTGGCAGTGGTGGGCTTCACTTCCAGACGGTGATTTGGAGCCATTCTTTTTGCTTTTTCTGTGTTAAGATGGCGCTAATAGAACTCACCGGGATCGTGGAATTATTGCATACCTGCACTCGGTGGGCAGTAGCATTTAAAATTTGACTTTTGCGACTGAGAACCAGAATACTTGAGTTGTATTTCATTAGGCTGTCCAGTGGCAAAGCGCTCGCCTGGCATGGTGGGGCCCTGGTTTCAACTCCCAACATCAAAGTTGTGGGTGCTGGCGACTGTTGAAATGGGTAAAGGGGTACCCAGGCAGGCCCTGACCTGTGAAGGGCTTGTCCCCAAAGTGTTCCCCAACCCCAATGCCCTCAGGGGTTCACACTGGCAGAGCCAACACGTCTATTCTTAGGTGTCAGATGAGACCTAACGTGCTTATTTAATAACCAGTTCACTTGCTGTGGTGCTTTGACCCCTGGAGTCAGGCAGTAGGGGGCGTTGTGGCAATCAAATACTTTGCAGTTGAGCTGGAAAGGGACAGCTTCAGGTTATTAGGACACTGCAGGCTGTCCCAGGAGGAAACTTAGGTTTTTGTGGAAAGTGTGGCCTGCGTGAAACCTCTTAAAGCCCTGTTTTTGCTGAGGGCCCACCTCCACAGTGGACATATGCAAAGACGCCACGTTTCTTCAAAAATAATTTATTTGCTTTTGATCACAAAACAGAGGTAAGGAAAGGGGCAGTGCATTTTCCAGTCTTTGCACCTCTAAAACTTGGCCCACTTCAGCAGGTACTCTCCCGTTTTTTCAGCTACAGAGTATAGGATGGCCACATGGTTAAGACAGGTGGGTGCCCCTGTAGCCAAGGAGACCCCCCCTTTAGTGTTCCAGCTCATTTAAAAAAAAAAAAATACTGCAAGTAACTGGTAGTTCTTTTTTTTTTTTTAAATTCATGAATAAGCAGGTCATAAATTCTGACCATACAACTCTTGAGAAACCTCCCGAAACAGAAGCAGAGACCAAGACTAGGCCCTTCTCTGTGTCAGCTTTCCAGGGTCCCCCATATCCCAGGGTGGCGATGGAGGAAGGGCAGGCCAGGCCACACATTAGGCATAAACAGTCTTTATTGGGCTCAGACCAGGAGTCCATTGGTTCTGAGGACCTCTGTGAACTTGTTAATTTTCTTCTCCACATTCTTTTCTGCCTGTTTTCGTAGCCTCTGTGGGGTAAAGACACATAATGTTTTTAGGAGCTGGTTCTCCACCTCAGGCTGGGATGTAGGCAGACCTTCTAGGGCAAGACCTCGCCAGCCTGGCCCACCCACAAGCACCGTCCCCTCTCCAGGGCAACCCCTGCCCTCACCATAAGCTGTTTTTTCTTCCGGTAATGGATCTTGGCTTTCTCCTTTCTCTTCTCCTCCAGGGTGGCTGTCACTGCCTGGTACTTCCAGCCGACCTCATGAGCCAGGCGGCCCAGGTAGGCAAACTAGAGGGGCAGAGAAAGTTTTTAAGGACATAGAGACATGGGAGTCCTCTTAACCTAAAGAGCCTGGACTGAGGCTATGGTGGTCACAAGGGGAGTAACTGTCCTAGAGGATCATGGGAAGGGAATAATTCAGTCCCCAGCAAGCCCACATGAAAAGGCAACACACACACACATCCCATGTAAAGGCTCCCCGCTCCTGGCATCAGCTAAGCCTTTAGCGTTCTCGGCACTGCACACAGTGGCATCCGCAGACCATCGTGAGAAAAAACATCATTTGCCAGTCTTGAACCTCAGGTTCACCCCAGAAGACCCTAAAACCAAGTTAGAGCTGTCCAACCTGGAACTCACCTTTCTTGTTGGCTTCAGTCGCACAACCTTCAGGGCAGCAGGAACCACCATCCGCTTTTTCTGTTGGAGGAGAGGGGCTTAAAGACCTAGTGCAAAGACACTAGGAAAAGGAGGCTGGCTGCAGTAGGCGTCTCAGCCAGTTATGTTTTCATGAGGCTCAAACAATGTAGGTAATTGTGTAACATCATGGACGCTGGATGCACGACACTGTGCTGGAGGCTTGGTGTGGCTCACCTTGTCGTAGGGTGGTGGAATCCCATCAAACACCTTGAGGCGGTCCAGGGCAGCCTGGCCTCGCTTGGTCTTGTGGGGCAGCATGCCTATGGCAGAAGGATGCCAGACCTCAGTGGGGCTTAGAGGATGTCCACCCTTCCCCACCAGGGCAGGCATGGGGCGGCCTCAGATGGTAGTGCATGTGGAGTCATCTCATGGTTGGGGAACTCGAACACGAGTGGGAGACGTCCTCATCACTGGCTGCCTGCTGCCACCACCCACAGCCCCAGGAGGCCCAGCTCACCTCGCACTGTCCTCCAGAAGATGCGACTGGGGGCCCTGAAGTGGTACGGGCCACGGGATGGGTTGGTATTCATCCTCTTGCGGAGGAAGGCCAGGTACTTCACTGAGGGAGGGGGAGAATATGAAGCTTGCCTTGTCTATAAGACCTAACAGTTCCCATCCAAATCCTAAAGCTCTAGCAAAAAAACCTTAACCCCTCTATGATCACAGGTTTAACTCACACTTGTTTCTGTAGAAATTTCCAGAAATGTTGATGCCCTCACAGCGCACAACCACCACCTTGCGGCCTAAAGGGAAGGTGAGGCATTCAAGAAGGGGAAGGATTAGGAAGGGCAGAATAAAGGGAGAGGGATCCTCCCTTGCACACAATTGGCAGAGCTGGGTTCATATTAAAATCTGAGCCAGGGAGGGAAGAGTTTGGCTGGCAAGTCTCAGAGCGGTGCATGGGGTTGATCTCACAGTCGTGAGACTCAAACGAAAGATGGTGATTGTTGCTCATCACTGACTTGCAAGTGGAACTAAAGGCAGGGAGGACTGTGAGCAGACTTACCCAGCAGTACCTGTTTGGCCACAATGGCCGCCAGGCGGCCCAGGAGATGGCCTCGGCCATCCAGCACTAGGACCTGTGGAGACAAGGAAGGGATGAGAAAACTGACAGCTTTACTCTCCCACCTCAAGAAACCACTCTTGCTCAGACCCAAGACTTGGGTTAGTAGACCAAGGGGAAGCAAAATGTTGATCCAGCATCACCAGGCAGGACAAGACACCAAGGAACTCCCTTCTCCCTTCCTAAGACTGCATTTTGGATTGTCAAAGGATGAGCCAAGATATGACCCAAACCTGGCAACTCCTGTCCTTGGCTCATACAGGTACAAAATTTGTTGTCACCTTTGTCAAACTGCAGGCTTCTAATAACCCAACTCTTCTTAATGTAAAATGCAATTTTTACCATGGACTTTTTTTTTTTTTTTAGTCTGAGACAGTTTCTCATTAGGTTGCCCAGGCTGACTTCAAAACCCTGGGTTCAGCAGTCCTCCTGAGTAGTAGCTGGGTACTACAGGCATGCTACCCCTGAACTTAGCAAGTACTGTCAAAAGCCCTTGCTGGATCTGCATCCCTGGGTCCTCAGCTTCCTCATCAAGAATAGAAGCCTTCAACATTAATAAAGCACACCATAATGTACTAATGTGACAGCATAAAATAATGGTTGTTATACATACTTGTGTAGTTAATGGAAAGCAATGCAGTGTGGCATCAAATCTAAACCTAAGCTAGACTTCCCTACAATGTGACCTTGGCCCCAAATCTACAACTCACCTGAAAAATGAGGCTAGCATCTGTCTCAAGACTATTGCCAATAAATAGGCAAAACCAGTGCACACTGCTATTCACAGGTACTCATTCGCTTGATGATTCTTACCACTTGCCTAGTTCTACCTACCTGGGAATGAGCCCAAATACCACAGACTTACAGGAAGAAATTCACAAGGAAATCCTTTCCAGGGCCATCCTTTTTTTTTTTTAGTTGTAGTTGGATGCAATATCACCATTTTACTTATTTTTATGTGGTGCTGAGGATGGAACCCAGGGCCCTGCACATGCCAGGACAGTGCTCCACCGCTGAGCCACAACCCCAGCCCCCCCATCCTCTAATTATGCCTCATACATGCTAGGCAAGCGCTCTGCCACTAGACTACAGCCCCAGCCCCAAGGACCACCCTCTTAGGTATATGTTCAGCAGTTCAACATAAGACACAGATCTAAGCTTCTACGGTGTTCCCTGAGGGCCTGGGGGTGATTTGGGGGGCGAAAGTTTGTCCTGTAGTTGTGGAACTGTTAACAGCCCTCTACTTCCAGCAACCCCCAAACAAGGGGGAATAAAGCAATTCCTGAAAACTCGGAAGGCGAATTTTCTCAACCTACTGCATAGGGAATTTCGCATTGAAATGCCACAAGCTGTAGGAAACCTTGATCCCGAGTCAGGTTGAAGCAGCTCAGGCCTTGGGGACAACGGCAGTGGCCTCCATTTTGGCCCAGCCTCAGGTTCCCATCGCCCGACATCAGTCAGACCGCCGCGTGTTCCCCATGGCCGGGGTCTGAACAAAGACCTGACGCCAAGGGCTCCCACCCGCTACCCAAGATTAAGACAAGGAAGACGTAACCGTAAAACAAACTCTCACCATCACCCTTCGCCTTGAGAAGGAATAAACTGCCGCCTTTTAGCCACTCCTCGACCTTAAAACAGCCGCGGTTTCTCCTACATCCCTACGGATTACCCTCCCACTAAAACCAGCTCCTTTTTGTTAACTGCTGATCTGAAGCTTCACAGCGTATGTACAAGGGAATACTGGACCCAACTCTGTTCCCGACTGGATCCCACGCGACCCCACACCTCCCCAGCCGCGCAGACACCGAACCTGCCCCTCCGCCATCTTCGGCAGCCGCCTGGGAAAGAAGGAAGTGTTGGCGCAGGGTTTCTTATCCCTTGCCGCAAGGGCGGAGGCAGCAACGCTACACTGGCGGAGCGGAGAAGTTTCCGTCTTCTCATTGGCTAAAGTGTTGTACGCGTGCGCAGAGATGCCCTGGGGGAAGGCGGGCGGTCTTCTGACTGCCCAATCCGATCTGAACTCGGCGGCCATGCCTGTGAGGGGCTAGAGATCACGTGAGTCGTGAGGCGGTTCTGTCGGGTGGGGCTGTCGGGTCTCGGCAGCCATCTTTTTGAGGGGCTGCTGATCTGCTCCACTCGACTTGTCGCCGTTACTCCATCAGGCGACTGAGGGTTGCAGGGTACGTGATGGCCTGCAGGGGGCAAGCAGATCCGCCTGGGCAGCTCTTAGGCGCTCAGTCTAGGTTAGGGGATGTGGATTTGATGCCTGGTAGGCCTCGTGGTGAGCAGGACCAACTGCTGCACTTATCTGGGCCCCGGCATCCGCCTTTGTGAAACAGGTGGAGGTGGATGATGAAGAAATGACTTCCAGATGCCGGGGCTGCACCAATCTGCTGCGGATCCCAAAGCAGCTTTCCGCTTTCCAGACTCTTGGCCTTTGCTTCTGCCGTCTGTCTTGCTTGGGATGCCCTCCCTGCTCTTCCGCCCACGCTCACTGCAGAATCTGTCTTGTCATGATCCCAGTGCCTTTGGGCTCAAGAGTCCTTTCCTCCAGAGAGCCTCCCCATCTATCCCAGCCTGGGCCAGATGCCTCCTGGGGGATCCCACACTGTCTGTGCTCCCTTCATTCGAGTGTGTGTCATCTTGCCCCGGCTCTGGGGTGCCCTGGGACTCCTCCAAAGACCCGGCGCTCCAGAGCCCTGGGCTGGTTTTGCCTCACATCTGGGTCTTAGAATTGCCCCAAGAGGCTTGAACAGAAACATTGCATTAACTAAACAAGACTCAAGCCCTATGCCGTCCCATTCATAACCCGTCCCAACCACAGACAAGTCCAACCAGAACTGGTAGAAAATAATGATTTATATACAAGTTCATGGGGACAAGGGCTTTATACAGAGGGCTGAGTTCTGGCGTACCCTCCATCCTGAGGGGCAATGGTGCCTAGGAAGGGACCAGTCTGTAGCCGCCTTCCTCTGTGTACTGGGCGTGTGTCCTCTGATAGGTGACTCCTCTTGCTGGGCCTCAGTGTCCTGTGTAAAATGGGATGATAAATATGTCGTCGTCTTGGGTTGTTTGAGGATCCATGGACAGAGGAGAGGGAAAGAAAATACTTAGCTCAAGGCAGGACACAGACTGCCCCAAACAACTCTGTTCCCAGTGAGCAGCAGGCATCTGTCTAAGGACATCACTGTCTAAGAAAAACTCTTGTACAGTGGTGGAAATGTTCTCCATCCCTGCTGTCCAGCTGGTTAGCCACCAGCCACGTGTGACTACTGAGCACTTCAAATGTGACTATGGGGCAACTCAGGCATTTTTTTTTAAATTTCATCCAATTTTTATTAAATTTAAGAAATTAATAATATAGTTATTGAGAGAGTAAGAAAACAAGTGCAAAGTGCAAAGCTCTGCAAGTGCAAAGCTCCTGAATGTTAAATGCAGATCAAGCGGTTCTGATAAAAATGTGTCACTTTGTAGCTCAGTGGTGGACCCTTGCCTTGGGTGTGCAGGCCGTGGGTTCCAGCCCTGCATACATTCTTTTGTGCATACACAAAAGAAAAATGTCATCTGACTTTAGACATGATGTATACACACTGATTTTGAAATATGCAAAAAGAGAGTAAAGTATTTCATTGACTATAGTTTGGATACAACAGGTAAAGTAAAACATAGGGGCTGGGGATGTGGCTCAAGCGGTAGCACGCTTGCCTGGCATGCGTGCGGCCTGGGTTCGATCCTCAGCACCACATACAAAACAAAGATGTTGTGTCCGCCGATAACTAAAAAATAAATATTAAAAAAATTCTCTCTCCTCCTCTCTCACTCTCTCTTTAAAAAAAAAAAGTAAAACATAATATTTAAAGTATTTCAAGGGCTGGGGTTGTGGCTTAGTGGTAGAGTGCTCGCCTAGTGCAGGTGAGGCTCTGGGTTCGATCCTCAGCACCACATAAAAATAAGTAAAAATAAAAGCATTGTGTCCACCTACAACTAAAAAAATATATTTAAAAAAAAAGTATTTCAAGTTACCTTTTTTTTGTATGTGTGTGTGTGTTTGTGGTACTGAGGATTCAACCCAGGGGTGTGCTACCTCTGAGTTAGATCCCCAGCCCTTTTATTTTATTTAAAAAATATTTTTAGTTGTAGATGGACATAATACCTTTATTTTATTTATTTTTTTATGCAGTGCTGATGATCAAACCCAGTGCCTCACACATGCTAGGCAAGTGCTGTATCACTGAGCCACAACCCCAGCCCCTTTTATTTTATTTTTGAGACAGGGTCTTGCTAATTGGTTGAGGTTGGTCTCCAATGTTCAATCCTCCTTCAGCCTCCTGAATTGTTGGGATTACAGGCGTGTGCCTCTGTGCTGTCTAAAGTTACCTGCTGCTTTTCCCTTTTTTTTTTTTTTTTTTGACGTGAGGACTAGGGAATTGAAAATCACATGTGGCTTCATTGTATTTCCACTTGGCAGTGTTTCTCTGAGGGCCTTTCCTTGTGTCACTTCACTTAGCCTTGTGACAGTCCTATGATGGAAAGCACTATTTTTAGAGACTCTTTTGTAAGGAAAGGGAACCCAGGTAGACAAGTGAAGGGTGTGGGTTAGATTAGGACAGGCTGAGGGCTGGGGTGAAGCTCCAAGGTGCAGTATTTGTCCAGCATGCTCAAGGTGCTGGGGGTGGGGGGTGGGGGGTGGGGGCAGGCAGCCTGGGATCAAATCTTCGTTGTCACTCACAAGCTGTGTGACTTCTGGAAAATTAACTTGTCTTTCTATGCCTTGGTTTCAGCCTGTATGAAGTGGGGCTCATAATAGCACTTCTCAATGAAGTGAGTTAATTTGTAGAGAGGTCCAGCCCCAGGCCTGTGCCAGAGTGATTACTGAGTACAATTTCCCCTAGGTCCCTCTAGGCCTCCCTCCTGCTACCCCTGCCTCCTCTCCCCACACCTGTTTCCAGATTCTCTCCTCCCTCCTCGGTTTCCCTTGGTTGCCTACTGCCCTGGGGCTAGTTGAACTTCCTGAAACACCTGAAGGACTGAGCAAAGGCAGTCCCCCGACCTACAGGGCCACGCCATTCCTGCCCCAGAAGGACACTCGGTCCTGGCATGCAAACTCCAGCACCCAGTATCTCCCGGGGTCCTCATTCCCTCAGGTCCCCCCGAATCACTGTCTCCTCCTGATCTTGCTTCCCCCTCGGTTCCCCACTGGCTACCCCGTCACTGGGCCAGACCTGAGGGCATCTGTGTCCGCTCCTCCACCAAGCTGCTCAGTCCAGTCTTGTGCTTCTTGACCCCCTCCCCTGACTCTCTGCCCCCCCACTCTCCCTCCATCGTTCTGCCCTGAACCCAGGCCTTGGCCTCTCTCTGTGGACCCTTGCTGGCCTCCTCCTTGGCCTCCTGTCTCTTCTTCTACAGGTCCTCCTGGGCCCCTAGGAGTCTTTCAGCACCTAGCACCGGCCCTGCCACTCTTCCACCCACAACCCTCCTGTGGCTCCCAGTACACCCCGACCCCTCCAGTCTAAGTCCAGAGTCCCTGGCCTGGCATCCCGGCCCCACAGCATGATGAAGAACTCACCAAGACAAGGCCCCAGCCGGGTCAGCACTCCACAAGCAGCACACCCTGGGGACTGGAGGCAGGGGGCACCTGTGGGCCCCACAGGGTCAGCCTCATGTGGGCAGGCAGAGCCTCCAGCCCCCCCTTCCCTTCCCATCTCTCTGCGCCCCCCTCACCTGTTCCTCACCTGAGGGGCAGGGCGGCCATTCACCCTTCTCCAGCGTAGGCACAAGAGAGCGGCCAGTGGTGGCAGGGCCACGGGCAGCAGCAGCAGCAGGAACAGCAGGTGGGACTGAGGGGCTGGCAGTGCTGTTGCCCCCAAGGCTCGGGGACTCCTTGGGGGCGGCAGGGTGGAGGAGTCTGGGGAGAGAGGGGACCCGGTGAACGGTGAACGAGGAGAAGGTTGTGTCAGGGAAGGCAGGAGTCCTGCTGGGGCCAGCTGTGGGACCTCAGTGGGCGCCAGCCTCCCCTCCCTGACCGCAGCTGCCTCATCCCCAGGGAAATGAGGACAGATAATCATTGTACTTACCTCACAAGGTTGACACAAAATCATGAGTGCTTAGGCGAGAACCTGGCACTTAGGTTATATTTTATTTCATACTTAAACTCAAATGTTTCCAGTGGTTATGTACCTGTCATCTCCCAGTCCTGAGACCCCACCCCCATCCCCTGCCCCCAGGAAGCAGGAACCTTATCTGGGTTATTTACCACCAGAACCTATAATTTAAGTATGTGAATGAATGGACATTTAGATATTAAAACAGTAACAGAGCTGGGCACAGTGGCACAGGCCTGTAATCCTAGAGACTTAGGAGGCTGGGGCATGAGGACACAAGTTAGAGGCCAGCTTCAGCAACTCAGGGGGACCTTGTCTCAAAAAATAAAAAGGCTGGAGTGTAACTCAGTGGTAGAGCGCTTGCCCAGCATGCACAAAGTGCTGGGTTCAATCCCCCATACTGCAGGTAAATAAATAAACATACAATACATGAACCTATGGTGTCCCTGGGGCTCTGCAAATCTGGCCCTTTTTTCCTCTCTGTGCCTTCAGCTTCCCTCCTACCCACTCAGCTTCAGTCTCACAGGCCTCCCTGATGTCCCCTAAACACAGGCAGATTTCTGCCCCAGGGTCTTTGGCACTGGCTATTCCTTTGTTCCCAACTTCCAGTAACTTCCAACCACAACCCAGCTCAGGATTCTATCATCTTGTTTTAATTTGATGACAGTGAGCTACTTTCTTGTTTATTTGTGTGTTGGGTGTTTATCAACTGTTTCCCGGATTAGTGTGTCAACCCTGAGCTGCAGTTACTTGAGTTACTTGAGTTGTTTTTGGCAGTAGTGTAGATGAAGCCCAGGGCCATGCACATGCCAGCAAGCGCTGTGCCACCGCCCTACAGCCTGGCCCGATTTATTTATTTATTTGTGTCTTCAGATAGAGTTGCACTGATTTACCCAGGCTGGCCTCAGACCTGCGATCCTCCTGCCTTAGCTTCTGGAGAAGCTGGGATTGCAGCACCTGAATCACTAAATATTTTTTTTTTAAACACTGAATAGAGTTTGGGGGGATATTGCATTAAATAAAAATATTAAATTATTGATATCTTAATAGAATCCTACATTGGGGATGTGGCTCAGTGGTAGAGCACTTCCCTAGCATGTGTGAGGCACTGGGTTTGCTCTTCAGCATCACATAAAAATAAATAAATAAAATTAAGGTATGTGTCCATCTACAATGAAAAATATTTAAAATATATATACATATGTATGTGTCAGAGAGCATAACGACCATGAAGAAGCCAGCCATCTACCAGCCAAAAGAGTCCTGGAGCGGATTTACTCTCACAGGCCCTGGTGACAGCGGATCTTGGACTTCTGGCTTCCAGCACTGGGTCATCTGTGGTTTAAGTCACTCTGTGGGGCTCTGTCACGGCAGCGCTCACAAACTCATATACACACTCAAGTGTGTATAAATAAGTGATAAAATCCGAATAAACTCTGTGGATTGGACCAATGTCAATTTCCTGGTTTTAATTTTGTTCTATTAGTTAATTAACAAGCAAATGTAAACTGGAGAGGCTGGGCATGGAGGGCAGGGGATCGCCTTAATGTCTTTGCAGTTTTTCTATGATTATTCCCAAAGGAAAAAAAGCTTAAAAATAAAACAACTCGGGGGCTGTGTTTGTAGCTCAGCGGTAGAGCGCTTGCCTAGCATATGTGAAGCGCTGGGTTCCATCCTCAGCACCACATAAAAATAATAAATACATAAATAAAACAAAGATTTTTTTTAAATAAATAAAACAACTATTAACTTGCTAAGAAATAAGAAACATTGAGTTGGACATGATGGTGCGTGCCTGTAATCCTAGCAGTTTGGGAGGTTGTGGCAGGAGGATCACGAGTTCCAAGCCAGCCTCAGCAATGGCGAGACACTAAGCAACTCAGTGAGACCCTGTCTCTAAATAAAACACAAAATAGGGCTGGGGATGTGGCTCAGTGGTCGAGTGCCCCTGAGTTCAATCCCCAGTACCAAAAAAAAAAAAAAAAAAAAAAAAAAAAATTAAAATCCTGAGGAAAAAATGAATCCATCTTTATTTTCCCCCCACATGGCAGCCAGGAATTTAAAACTTAAATAAGTGGCTGCCTGTGTCTGTGGACAGGGTTTCTTAGACACACAGGCAGGGACTACAGCTTCCTTCTCAAAGATGGGTAAACTGAAGCAGAAAGGGGAATGAACTTGCTCCAGGTCGTAGCAGTGGAGAGCAAGGGCCCTCTGGGACACACTGAGCAGAAGGGACAGGAGGGTACCAGTGGGCTTCAGGGACTGGGAGCCGTTACCGGGCTGGCACTGCAGCTCCAGGCACCGAGAGAAATTCCGGCGGGTGATCCAGGGCTTCAGAGCCACCAGCTGCTCGAGGGTGTCCTGCAGGAGGTGGGAGATGTTGGTCTGGACGAAGCGAAGGCAGCTGGGGAGGGGCTGGGAGCAGGGGAGGGAGATGTCACGGCCACATGGCCCCAGCATCTCCAGCCAGCCAGCCCAGGGCTTTCCCTGCCGGCAACATCCAGCAATGAACCCAAGGAGGCCTGAATCTCAGAGTTGAGACCCCCAGGCTCCCTGGTGGCAAGGGGACATGACCCCTTAGCTGCCCCTCTCATCAGGGCCTAAGAAACCTGGGCCCAATTGTGGAGCCCTTCACCATCTTCTGGTACCCAGCAGCAGTGTCCCTGGGGACCTCAGGGGAGCAAAGTTCCAGCTCATTCTCCCTTGGGGCTCTGCTGCCAAAAGAACTCCCAGTGAGGCTCCGGGGCTTCACTTGCGGTGCCTGGGAGGCTCCCTCCCCTCATTCATCCCCTGAGCTCAGGGCTGACCTGGAAGGCACATAAGGTGACAAAGTGTATTTCAGTGTTGACGTCCTCCAGGAGGATTTTCATCTGAGACCCGGCCACAGTTTTGAGTTGCTCCATCCAGCGCTGAGCCAGTACCAGCTGCCACAGTGCCTTGCAGAGTTCTTCCTGGGGAGGGACAGGCCATACCCTCAATCTGAGGGAGGAGGCTGGTCCTGGACCCCTGGGTCTGAGGGAGGAGGCTGGTCCTGGACCCCTGGGTCTGAGGGAGGAGGCTGGTCCTGGACCCCTGGGTCTGAGGGGGGAGGCTGGGGCTGGACCCTGGGTCTGAGGGAGGAGGCTGGGCCTGGACCCCTGGGTCTGAGCGAGGGGGCTGGGCCTGGACCCTTGGTCTAAGGGAGGAGGCTGGGCCTGGACCCCTGGGTTTGAGGGAGAGGGAGGCTCTTGGCTCACTAGTCTGGCCCCTGAAGGTTGGTGAATCTTGCATCTGGTCCCCACCTCTGTCCCAGGCCCATCCCACCTATGACTCACGTCCTGCAGGTTGGAGGCCACAGTGACTGGGTAATCGTGAAGCAGGTAGTCAGACTGCAGGAGAAAAGAGGGTTAGGCCTGGCTGAGAGCCGGAGAAACAGAACTATGGAGACTCAGAGATGGAAGGCAGAGACCTGGGGCAAGGGGCAGAGACCAAGGGAGAGAGATGACAGATACCCAGTCACAGAACTTTGAGCTCAAGCAGGGACCCAGGGGAGGGGACCAGCCAGGAAGGCTCACCAGCTTGCGGATGGTGGCTGCAAAAGTAGATGTGATGGGGCTGTGCTTGAAGGAGCAGTCGGGGGTCCCCCGGAGGCCAGGGCTCAGCAGCAGCAGCAGCAGCAGTGAGGACTACGGGGGGGGGGGGGGGGGGGGGGGCACCGGCCAGTCAGCTCCGCTCCACCTCCCCCACCTCTCTCGCCTGTCCCCTTCTTAGGTCTCATTCCAGATCTTCCCGTCCCCTCTCTCCCCTGCATCTTGTCTGATGTGTCCCCATCTCTCCCCAACATGGCCTACTCCTGTCTCTTGTCCAAAACTGTCCACTTTCATCCATCCTGTCTCATCTCTCGCCTTCTCCACCTCCCTCCACATCTCTCCCCTCCCTACCTCTTTCCCGACCTCTGCCCATCTCCCCACCCCGCCCATGACCTCACACCTTTGCCCATCTCCCCACCTCTGCCACCTACTACACCTGTCCACCTCCCCCAACTCCTCCCCACCTCCCCTTCAGCTCGCCCATCTTGACCTGGTGCCCCCCTCCTCCTAGGTATACGCACAATTGGGCTCCAGGCTGGCGCCAGCACTATCATCTCTGCCGAGAGCCCCTCATGCCTGTGGCCGGGTCTTGGAAGGGACAGAAGAGCTGGTCTCGGACACGCACCCCTCAGCCCCTTTCTCGCCCGCCCCTTCGCCTCCCCGCCCCTCCCTCCTGCCCTTGATGTGGCTAAGTTTCCGCCTCCTACTCCCCCAGGCTTCCTGCGTGAGCCCCAGTTACACTGAAAACTCATCTCCCCTTCCAAGAACCCCGACGTCCGGTCCCCGAAACCCTCCTCAGGTCAGGGACCCGTGAACGGGGTTCCCCATGCCATGCTCCCTCAGCCGCAGGAACGGGGACCCCAGCCCCGCCCCTCGGGGACCTGGAGTCCCATTCTCCTCACGCACTAGGCTTGCCCCAGCTGGGTGTGGAAGGGCTAAGCTGGGTGACAGCCAGAGACCGAAAGTGAAAGGAAATTTTGGGGGGAGACCGCGAGCAGGGGTGGAATCGGGTCGAGGCAGAGGGCGCCCCCTGGTGGTGAAGGTGGCGCCTTCGCCTAGACGGCGTGCATAGCGCCAAGCCCAAGGCACACCAAGCCAGGCGCAGGCCACCCTGAAACCTCCTTTCTCACCCCAAAATCTTCCTCAACGCCCCAAGGTAGATGGCAGTTCCATCCCTCCAGGCTCTCAGGCCCAAAGCCTTGGAGTCCACGCCTCTGCGCCTTTCACTGCATAATGGCAGGCCCATCAACAAATGGATTGGCTACACCTTCAAAATGTAGCCGGAATTCTACCAATTCTCACCACTGCAACTGCCATTATCTGGGTCCTGCTACCACCTCCTGCCTGGGACACCACTCACTAGGCTCCCTGCTTCAGCCCCCTAGACTCTAGTGGCTCTCCAAGCAGTCAAAAGAAGTCCATGCAGACCTGTCAGCTCCCTGTAGCTCCCCTCATTCAGAACAATGGTCCACATGGAACTGCAGGATCTGGTCCCATCTCCCCTCTGACCTCACCTCCTGTCCCTCTCCAACACCAGCCCTCCTTGCTGTGTGCGACATGGGCACACTCCTGCCTTAGACCTTTGCACTGGCTGTTTTGGCCTCACCCCAGACACCTATGTGGCTCAGGTGTTTGCTTAACTCACAGGCAGGGGCTTCCCGACACCCTTTAAAAATCGTACTTCTCCACACACCCCTTTTTGAAACTGCCCCCATACCCCCAGCATTCCTACTCACCCCCACTTCATACTTGTCACCTTCTAACGCACCATGTGGCTTTCTGATCTTCATTGTTGTTTTCTTCCAGGGGACATGGGCTCCAGGAGGTCCTCAGTAGGTATCTGCTTTACCCCTTCTGAGTTTCTAGAACTCTTTGGCCCTAGCAGCTGCTCCACAGATATTGGCTGAATGATCGCAAAAACTGATCCTGACCTCTTCCCTTCTTCACCATTGCTGAATTATAGAGACTGTGTCTGGCTCTTGCCGCTGGTTCCTGGGAGATAAAACCTTGGAATTTCCCAGGTATTAGGAGTGTCATTGTTATTCATGGTTGCCACCTTGACTCCCTGAGTTTATACTGAGGGAGGCTGGTCATACTAGAAAGACCAATTATGTGATTAGAGAGCTGGGGATTTGAGCTAGACTTGCGAAACTCTGGGAAGTGTTGGGGACCTGTCTACCAGAGGAAGCCTGGGTAAAAATTTTGGATTTTGGGGGGCTGGGGTTGTGGCTCAGTGGTAGTGTGCTTGCCTACCATGCATGAGGCACTAGGTTCGATCCCCAGCACCACATAAACGTAAAATAAAGATATTATGCCCATCTAAAACTAAAAAATAAATATTTAAAAAAAAATTGAGGCTCTTGTTATTGGTGAGCACAGTACATCAGGAAGGTGATATGCTCTGATTCCCTGGGGGATGAGGGTTTGGAAACGGTACAGCCAGCCCTCAGCGTTCATGGTTTTTTTTTTTTTTTTTTCTTTTTGTTGGTACTTAGAGGCACTCAACCACTGAGCCACATCCCCAGCCCTATTTTGTATTTCATTTAAAGACAGGATCTCATTGAGTTGCTTAGCGCCTCACTGTTGCTGAGGCTGGCTTTGAACTCTTGATCCTCCTGCCCCAGCCTCCCAGCCTCCGGGATTACAGGCGTGTGCCACTGCGCCCAGTCTGGTCTGTATTCTTTCTAATGACACTGTGATTGTGAGTGTAGCACTTTCCAGAGTTCTTGAACCTGAAGAGGTCATGAGAGCCCTGGATTTGTAGTCAGTGGGTCAGAAGTACAGGTGGCTTGTGGATGTCTCGGGGAGAGGCTTGTCTAGGACTGAGCCTTACCCTGTGGGGCTGGGGCCCACTCTGAGAACGGAGCACATACCTGGTGCTGTGGTACTACAATGCTGAGTACCCACAGTGCTGCCAGCTCAGTGCTGGGGATGTGGCTGTGCATGAAAGATACATTTCTTGTCCTGATGAAGTTGGCAGATTCTGAGTAAGCTAACCCGGAAATGATGATTTCATTGCAGATATATTATGTGCTTTTAAAACGAAGGCACTAGCTGGATGTGGTGGCAAACATTTATAATCCCAGTGAGGAGACTGAGGCAGGAGGATGGCAAGTTTGAGGCCAGCCTCAGCAACTTAGCAAGACACTGTCTCAAAATACAAAGGGCTGGGGATGTAGCTCAGTGGTAGAGCACCCCTGGGTCCAATCCCTAGAATGAATGAATAAGAAGGCCCTGAGATGAGCAGCCTTCCCCCATTTCTTCTCTCCAAGGTGCCCAGCTCCTCCCTGGGTGCTCTGGTGCTGACTCGGCCTACGGGCCCAGTGGAACTCAGGCTGGGTCGTGTGGCTTGCTTGGCTGACTGCTGAGAGTGAGAGTGCCAGGCCCCTCTGGGTGGAAGCTGCCCAGGCTGGGAGTGGACAGTGATGGTGAGAGGTGCACTGTAGGGGCCTCTGCGATGACTTGATCACCCAAATTTCAGATTGGAAATTTAATCCCCAAATTCATGTTAATGGCATTTAGAGGCGTGACCTTTGCGGGGGATGACTGGGTTATGAGGACATTAATCCATTCACTAATTAATGGAGGACAGGTTACGGAGGAAGTGGCTTTGCTCTGAGAGCGAGCTCTCTAGCAGGCCAGCACCGTCTCGCCACGTCATGTCCTCTGCCTCCTGCTGATGCGGTGAAGATGTCCTCCACAGGTGCAGTTCCTCTCGGCCTCCAGAACCACGAGCCTTTATTCTTTGCAAATTACCAGTCTGGCACATGCCTATAATCCCAGTGACTCTGGAGGCTGAGGCAGGAGGATCACAAGTTGAAAGCCAGCTTCAGCAACTTAGGCCCTAAGTAGCTTAGCCAGATCCTGTCTCAAAATAAAAAATAAAAAGGGCTGGAGATGTGGCTTGGTGGTTAAGTACCCCTGGGTTCATTCAGGGATAGCAACAGAGAGTGGAGTAAACCAGCCTCTCAGCCAAGTTCCCTGGCTGACTCCCAGGGCAGAGGGACCCTGCCAATCCTTTTTTTTTTTTTAATATTTTTTTAGTTGTAGTTGGACACAAAATCTTTATTTATTTATTTATTCATATGTGGTGCTGAGGATCGAACCCAAGGTCTTGCACGTGCTAGGCGAGTGCTCTACCGCTGAGCCCCAGCCGCCCCCCCCCAATCCTTGATGGACAGGCAACATGAGTGAAAGGAGCTCTGTGGCCCTAGAACACACAGTGACTCTCACTGCAGCAAAGCCTGGTCCACCCTGCCCAACAACATTTCTCTTCCCTGCTCTCTTCCTCTCCCTTCTCATGTAGCCCAGGGAACCACCTTTTCATGATAATTGACCTCTTCTGTCTTGTCCTGTGGCAGGCAGAGCCACGGCCCCCAAGGATGTCCACATCCTTGTAGTGCCTCTGGCTCCCATGTGGCAAAAGGGACTCAGCAGAGGTGATTAAGGATCCTGAGATGGGGAGATGACCTGGACAATCCAGGTGGACCCAATGTCATTACAAGAGTCGTTAGAAATGACAGAGGAAGAACCAGTCAGAGGTGTGTCAAAAGAAAAGGTGTCAGTGTGAACCAGGAGCGATGTCAGCCACTGCTGGCTCTGCAGGCGGAGGAAGGGGGCATGAGCCAAGGGCTGTTGGTGGCCTGGACAAGCTGGAAAGCTACAAGACACGTCCCCCAGAGCCTACAGAAAGCACCGCCGCAAACTGTGGCTTGACTTCAGCTCACCAAAGCTCATTTTAGTCTGACCTCCAGAACTGTGAGATGACTTTTTTTTTTTTTGTATCCAGGGATTGAGCTCAGGGGCACTCGACCACTGAGCCCCAGCCCTATTTTGTATTTAGAGACAGGGTCTCACTGAGTTACTTAGCGCCTCGATTTTGCTGAGGCTGGCTTTAAACTTGCGATCCTCCTGCCTCAGCCTCTGGAGCCACTGGGATTACAGGTGTGCACCACCACGTGCTGCCTGTGAGATAACGTTTTGTCATTCTTTTTAAACCCCAAAGTTTGTGGGAATTTGTGGCAGCAGTGACAGGAAGCTCACACACCTCTGTCACCAGCACATGGGCTCTGGGCGGCTGGTGCTGCCTAGTTGGCACTTGCCTCCCCCGGTGCCCTGAACATGCCTGACCTGAGGTGGCAACTGGCACGTTGATATGCTGGCTGGAGAGCCTGGATGGAGGCAGACCCCTGGCTCAGGCTGGCCAATTAGATTTCCCTGTCGTGAATGCTGTGGTGCAGACCTGCCTGCACACTTGGCTCTGGCCAGGGTAAGCAATGGGAGACCTAACGGGAAGGACCCTGATACCACCCACGGGAACAGAGCCTTCCAGGGACTTCCCTCTGACTCCTCCTTTTGCCCCCTCAGACTGCCCTGCGTGGGGGCTCTCAGAGTCCCCTTTATCTGTCTCACAAGTGCTGTGTTGTCCTGGAGCCACCCACTGTGATGCTGAACTGGAGGGGTTCATACAAATCAGAGTTGCTGTCCCCTCCTCCCTCAGAAACATAGCAGGTCAGGTCAGACAGTTTATTGGGGGACCCAGGAACCACGAGAGGAACGTTCCAGGCATCTAGCATCTGCTGGAATCCATCTCTTCTGCATTTGAGGTGGGGTGCATGGCACTCACACATCAGTCCCCCATGGGTAGCCACAGGGCCTTCGTCCGTGCTGCCCGCAGCGCCAGCTCTGGGCCTGCCCCCTCGGCCTCCTGATCCCAGGCCCGCGGGCAGCCTCTGTTCACCCACACAGGCTTGAGGTTTCCTGCTGAGGCCCACTCCACAAACTGGGAGCCCTGGGATGGGGACAGGATAGGATTAGCACTGCCAGAGGCTTGGTTGCTAAGCAGCTGCTTCCTTAGCAATGAGGATTCTTTGGAGAGACCTCAAGGTTTGACCTAGCTGGATGCTCGGCTCCTAGCAAACAACCCCTCCAGATGCTGAGGGAAAGAGGCTGACCCGTGGCTAGGGAATTTCCTCTTCTTCAACGCCCACGCTCAAAGGAATGAGCTCCAGGCCCGAGAGTTCCCACTGGTTGCCAAAGGGATGTTTAAGAGGGTAGACTTTGGACCTGACTCGATTGCCAGGGTGTGGTCCTTAGCAACAGGTCAGCCAATATCTTTGTTGCTAAGGAGATCCTCTTTCTTACCAACCAGGGTTCTAAAGGTACAAACCACTGACCCTCATTGCCTTTAACAACAGGAGTGCTCAGGGCGTGGGGCGGTGCTTCCAGAAGGGTACCTGAGCAGATCCGAAGTACCACAGGGCCTGAATGTCCTGGTGCAAGGCCAGGCAGCGGGTCAGGTGGTCCCGATTTCCTGTCACCACGTTCACGAGGCCAGCAGGGAACAGGGTGGTCATATCCTAGGGGGTGAGAGAGTGGGCCACCCAGGGCTAGGGGGGAGTGGGGTTGGGTCAGGAGTGTGCATCAGGGAGTGGCTGTTGGGCTCGGGGAGGAATGCACCAGCTTAGTCTGGGATGCTGGGACTGGGGTTATTATGGTTACCAAAGAGGGTGGGAAGACAGCGGAGCTCCTGCAGACCTGGGGGGAGCATCAGGAAAATGTATAGGCAGGTGAGACTGTACCTGGCAGACCTCCAGGGCAAGCAGGGGACAGGTCCCACTAGGCACCAAGACTACAGTGTTGCCATGGGCCAGGGCAGGAGCCAGCAGCGACACAAAGGCAAGCAGGGGCAGCTCGTCAGGGCACACGATGGCCAGCACACCCAGCGGCTCACGAAGCCGGAGCACAGGGCCTCTCAGCCCTGCTACCTAAGGGACAGGGGTTAGGTCAAGGGTGGGGCAGGGGAGCCCAACTGACCTCCCATAGGTTTCTCTGTCACCTGCCCCTTTCTTCTTCACATCCCCATCTTTGCTTTTCCATAAAAACCCCAATATTATATGGCCAGGTGATGGTGTAGGGTACAGAACTCCAGAGCCAGACAGCCACTCACCAGCTATGCAACCTTGGACAAGTTACTTAACCCCTCTGAGCCTGTGGCCTACCTTCAAAATAATAACAGTGCCAACCTTACAGATTTGTTATTAGGATAAAATGAGTTAATGTGTGCAGAGAGCTGAGAACCCAGCCTGTGGGCTGATTTGTGTGTGTGTGTGTGTTTTACAAAAGCTTTACTGAATATAACTGACATTTGCCAAACTACACACTGTAAAGGGTACAATTTGACAAGTTTTGACAGTATGCATATGAACTCTTCCATGAACTCTCCCCTATTCCTGTGCCTCTTAATCCCCACCTGCCACCTGCTACCCTATATGAGCCCTCCATGTCCCTAGCCAATCACTGATCTGCCTTCTACCCTTAGAGATTAGTTTTTATTTCTAGACTAGTATAGCCACGGAGTCCTATAGTTTGCACTGTGGTATTATTTGCTTTTTAAAATTTTTTTTTTCTGTGTGGGCAATGGAACTCAGGGCCTCCAGCATGCTAGGCCAGGGCTCTGCCACCGAGCCACCCTCCAGGCTTCAGTGTCTACCCTAACCTGGCTTCCCTGGCTCAGAGTAATTACTCTAAGTTTGTTCTTGTTGTGGCTTCTTTTTGGGGCACGGGGGGTGGGTAATGGAGCACTTGACCACTGAGCCACATCCCAGCCCTATTTTGTATTTTATTTAGAGACAGAGTCTCACTGAGTTGCTTAGCACCTTGCCTTTGCTGAGGCTGACTTTGAACTTGAGATTCTCCTGCCTCAGCCTCCCAAGGGGCTGGGATTACAGGCGTGTGTCCAGCCATGTTGTGGCATATTTGTGGTCTCCAGAGTCACGGTGGCAGAGATGGATTCCATTGTCAGGATGTATCACATTTGTTTATCTATCAACCCAATGAGGGATGTTTTGGTTGCTTCATTTCTAGGTTTTTATAGATAGTGGTGAACATTATTATGATGAATATCTGTGCATAAATCTTTGTATGGACATATGCTCTCATTTCCCAGGAATTACTTTTTCTTTGTTTTAAGGTGGGGGTCTTACTGTGTAGCCCAGGCTGGCCTTGAACTCCTGGGCTGAAACAATCCTTCTGCCTTAGTTTCCCAAGCAGTTGGGATCACAGACAAGTGCCACCATACCTGACTTCCTCCTCTCCGCCCCCCCTTTCCAGTGCGGAGCTGGAACCCAGGTGTCATCAGTGCTAGGCAGGGCTCCACCTCAGTGTCTTTTCCCGTGCTCACTGGCCGGCCGTGAGGAGACATCTTTGGAGTCCTTGGATGTCTGTCAGGCACTGATCACTTAACTCAGTTAGTTTTCACAAATGCATGAGACTGATCACAACTGTAAAACTGTCCAACTGCATGCTACTTATGGAGGAGGACGTGAGGACAGGTCAAGGGACTCGCCATCTTTCTATCAGCCTTATTCCTGAGCACTCCAGTGGTGCCCCGGGACACTGGTCCATGATTCATTCACATCAAACCTGTGTGTGAGTGTAAGTGTGTGAGTGTAACTGTGTGTGTGTGTCCAGGATTGAATCTAGGGGCACTTTAACCCTAAGCTACATCCCCACTGCTCTTTATTTTTATTTTGAGATAGGATCTTGTTAAATTGCTGAGGCTGACCTTGAACTTGTAATCCTCCTGCCCTGGTCTCCAGAGTCACTGGGATTATAAGTGCATGCCACCATGCCTGCCTAAGCCCGTACATATATTTAACCAAATAATATGTATGTATATAAATAAAACAAAAATCCCAGGAGACAATATTCTGTGCAGTGCATTATTTCCTATCTTCTATTCTCTTCTGTCAAAAAAAAAAGTCATTATAGACTGGGGATGTGACTCAGTGGTAGAGCCGCTTGCCTAGCAGGCATGAGCCCGGGTTTGGTCCCGAGTACCACCAATTAAAAAAGAAAGGAAAGATAGAAAAGCCATCATGGTGACAGCTGCTAAATGGAGATTATGGTCCAGTAATGCATCAATGACCATAATCTGGACAACTACTCTGGGAGGTGGGCCGGTGCCCATTACACAGATGAGGAAACAGGTGCAGAGACGTGACGCCACTTGCTGATGACCACGCAGCTGGGAGGGGGTGGAGTTGGGCCTGAACCCAAACCCGGCTCATTCCATAGCCTTTGCTCTGACCCTCCGCCTGGCTGCCTGCTCTGTCCACAGACCCCCTCTCACCTGCAGGGTGTGGCCCTGGGCCTGGGCCTGGGCTCCCCATGTCCGGAGTCGCTGAATGCTCAGCTCCACCTCCGCCTTGGCTGCCTTGAGCTCCACTCCCTGCCTCTCCAGCCTCGACGCCAGGGCGGGTACCCGGCGCTCCAGTGCAGCTGCCAGAGCCCACAGTAGGGCTGCCCGGGCTCCTGGTGACTGGCCTGCCCAGCTGTGGGCGGACAATGCACACTGGGAGTAGTGTCCTGGTCCGAGTGCTTTCCAGACACCCACTTTTGTCTGCAGCCCCCACCCTGGGGATCCAAGCCCCAGGGTCCACCACCTATTGAGGGTCCCACATGACCACCTCTGCCACCCCGTGGCCCAAAGCTTCCCATGTGAGTCCTCTTACCCAGGGGCAGCCTGGTGAGCGGCCTCCACAGCATCCCGGACATCCTTGGCCCCACCCTCAGCCACATAGCCATGGAGGTTGCCAGAAGAATCCTGGATAGGCCTGGAGCTCCGGGACCCAGGGGCTTGGAAACGGCCTCCCACGAAGACTCCATAGGGAGGTGCTGGGCTGTGTGCCAGTGAAGTGTGAGGGGGTCCTGGGTCTGCTCAGACCCCATGCTCTACCCCGCTGCACAGATCACCCCAGCTCCCATGAGCCTCTGGGGGACTTTCAACTTCTGCTCTTGTGAACCAGAACAGACCGTTGTCAGGCAGGACTGAGACTCACCAGCCCCAGGGTGTGAGGCACTAAGACCCAGAAGGCAGCTCAGGACCTGGGGACCCAGGAGTGCCACGAACAAGCCTCCTTCCAGTCCTCCCACCCTTGGCTGGCGGAGCCTGATGGAACTTCCCCCTCCTTCCCCACACCACTGAGCCCTGGAATGGCTCACCTGGGCCCCATTTCTGGACCAGCTGGCAGGGTGGGGGGCACAGCAAGGCCAAAGGTGTCATAGTTCAGATTCTCACAAAGGAAGGGCACGCGGGCAGGGGTCCCTGAGGGCCGCAGATACTCATACAGACCCTAGGAGAGGGGTGTTATCAGCAGGTGCAAGATGGACACAGGTGAGAGTAGGCATTAAAGTGACGTAGGGGTGGTGACAAGAGGACAGACACTCACATCCAGGCCCCCGTGCCAGGAAGACCCACTCTCCTTGCAGCCGCCTGTGGGCACTGCAGGGTCTCGAAGGCCATGGGCATTGATCCACACTGTGCCCATCTGGAGCCTGCAGTGGAGATAGAGATATCAAAAAACAGGAAGTGGGGAGGAAGAGGCCCAGAGGGAAGGGAGACAGGAGATGGAGAAGAGGTGCTCGGACCATGCTCACAGGCTGCCCTTTGTGCCCTGGTGGACAGTGTCAGTACTGACCCATAGCCCAGCTCCAGCGCCAGCCCTAGCCTCTCACTCCACACACTGGCGCTGCCTCCGCGGGGCGTCCCATTGACTATGGCCAAGGCCTCCTTGGCTGTGCGGAAAGCGGAGGCCATGACCAGAGGCCATGGCACCTGAAAGGGGTGTCAGGAAGCTCAGTGGCTGGGCAAATGCCCCCTTTGATCACCCCACCCATTAGGGGACAAGCCTACAGCAGGCAGCAGCCCCCAGACCCAGGTCCCAGGTCTCCCCAGGGTTTCTGCAGATAGAGTGCTGCTGCCCAGGACTGGCTGAGGACAGTGGACGGAACAGGACTCTTGGCACCCTAGGGACTCACCTCTGCTTGGGCGCATGGGGAGGCAGGGGGCAGACCAGTGATCAAGGTTGGGGGACAGAATGGGCTAACTGAGGGCATTTCACTAGCCTGGAACACCTAAGAAGGAGAGAAATAGATCTGGAAGTCACCACAGGCCCACCTCCCTCAGACCCAGGGGTCCAGGCCCCGCATCTTTCTCCCTCAGACCCAGGAGTTCAGTCTCCAGGCTTCTCCACCTCAGTACCACAATGGATGTCCCAGAGCTAACCTGTGCACCCTGCTTCCAGGCCTCCTCCACATAGTTCCGGGCCAGGATATACGCAGTAGGCTCCTTGACCCCCATGTCCACGGCCCCATCCACCTCTTGGCCACCTCGAAGCCGGCCCATGCGTACCTGGAGCCTCTTCATGGTTTCATCCCACACAGACTCCTGCACAAGGAGCCTGAGGCCCCCCTGTTAGGAGATGGGCATGGTCAGGGCCAACATAGGGAAGACGGGAGGGCACAGAGGGCTGGGCCTGAGGGAGGAGGAGGGTCATGGAGAAGTGGTGAGGACCAAACCCAGGGCAAGAGTACAGAAAAGTGATGATCTTAAGAGTGAAGTCAGAGGATGGAAAAGTAGGAACATGGACACTCAGATAAATGAAGAGAGTTCTTAAAAAAAAAAAAAAAAACAGCATTTTTAGACCCAAGGAACCAACAAAGTGAACAGAGACTTAAACCCCCAGGTCTGAGGAGACACAGCGCTCCCCCAGGATGTGGGAGACACGAGTGCACAGATCTCACCGGGCTGCGGTCAGACCAGGCTGCATCCACAACACCCTCCACAGCTGAGTCCACGTCCGCCGAGTCTGTCAGCAGCAGCAGTGACTCTGTGCCCAGCGCCAGGCCCAGCTCAGCCCCCTCACCTGCCAGCGTCCGCCGCAGGGCACGTCCTTCCTGAGGGACCCCTGCAGGCTTCAGCTGGGGCAGGACACTCCAGGCCCCAGCCTTGTCCCACCCCACTTCCAACCCTGAAGATACCTCAATGGCTCCACAGAAGGCCACCTTCTGGACTCCAGGCCAGGAGGCCAGAGCAGGCCCCAGGGAGGCAGGGCCACTGATCACGTTGATTATCCCCGGGAAGGATCCTAGCTCCCCTGCCAGCTGGGCCAGGAGGAGGGGTGTTGGAGAAGCCAGGGGCACAAGGGCCACCACAGTGCATCCTGAGGAAGGGGGACGACTCAAGGACACTGAAATCTAACCCTCAGTCCTCCTCCCTCAAACCCAGGAGTCCAGGCCCCAGCCCTCTTTCCTCTAGACCCCCAATCTCTTCTGCTCTCAGATCTAAGAGCTGGGACCCCAGCTCATCATTTACCCATGGCCAGGGCAGGGCAAATCCTCCACATCATCTCAAGGAAGGAGAACTTGGGTGGCAAGATGAGGCCAACAACGCCTGCAAGGAAAAGAGAATTAATGAGAGGACTGATCCAGCACACTGTGTCACGCAGGAGGCGGGGACTGGTGCAGGGATCCAGGTTCTCACCCACAGGCTCCCAGCCTGCCAACGCCTCCTCCTGGGTGTACGCCTGGACTGCGTGGAACTGCAGCAGCTGCTGGGCCAGTGGGACATCCCCATCCCGAACCTCGCGAATGGCCCGCCCAGTCGCCAGGGACTCCAGGGTCCACAGCAGCCGCTGGTGCTTCTGAATCATCTTGGCCAACCTAGGGAAGAAATATGGGGAGGGTTCAACCCGGGACAACATTGATGCCCATGAGCCTCTGGGGAACCCTCACAATTTACCAGAAGCAGAGGGCACCCAATATTTATGGGAAATGCAGTTGGGGAAATTCTCAAACCCTGAGAGTGCTGTGGAAGGGTCTTGGCCACCAGTGACCCCCCAAAAACATATTGGGAACTTAACTCTTATTCTCTAATCTCAACTGTATTTTAGGAAATGGAATCTTTGTTCCTAACTGCCCCCAATGCGTGCTGGAGAACAACGCCAATGAACTGCTGAGAAATGGGGGCATGATGAACCCCAAGTACATTCTGTGAAACAGAGGCTTTGTGGCTACCAGTGAATGGTGGGAAATAGATGTTGTGCCCACTAAAGACCCAAATGCACCCTGGGAATATGAAATTCAGCTGCCAATCAATTCAGTGGGAGATTGGGAAATGGAGTAACCATTTCCAGTCTCCAGTGGATGCCAGGGGATGTAGTTCCTCCCCCCCTCTGGGGCCACACCTCAACTACATCACCTGGTCAGGTGCTGGGCACGTGCAGCTCCAGGGAGCTTGCTCCAGCTCAGGAAGGAGTTCCTAGCTGCTTCCACTGCTGCAGCCACATCCTCCTTCTGTGCCTGGAGGCAAGTGGCCAACTTCTCTCCTGGGGAGAAAAGTTGGGGTACAGAGATGGGAGCAGAGATGTGGGGAGTTTGTGTGAGAACTGGCAGAAATTAAGACTCCTGGAGCCTGGGAAGGTCTAGGGCAGTGAAGCTGGTCCCAGCTTCCCTTTGGGCTTGTTTTGTCACTGGTCTTTGCTCTGATCACCTCCCACAGGCAAGGAAGGGACTTTAGTAGAAAGCAACTTCAAAGAGCCTTTGTAGGGACTTGGAACCACAGTTAGCAGGGTTACCACCAGGAGGAACCAGACAGCAGCCCCTCCCCGCTTATTCCCTGCCCTCTGCCCTAAGCAAAGAGCTGGGAAGGCACAAAGGTCTCTCCTTCCCCTAATGACCAGGGGACATCTCATACCTGAGATGGGATCCCACCATGGCACTATGTGCCCGTGCACAGGTTTTAACCACTTCCCATTGACATAGTGGCCCAAGCACCGGTCCTGAGTGTCCAGCCAGGCCTAGGGGAAGAGTTTGGAAAAGGGCCTGTGACCATACTGGAGCAGCTCGGTCCCCACCCTGAGTCCTCTGGGAAGAGACACTTGTATCCTCAGTCCATCAGTTTCTTCTTGTTTCTTTTTTTGGCACTGGGGACCAAACCCAGGGCCCATGATCTTCTATTGAGCTACACTACCAGCCAGTGTGTGTGTGTGCTTCTATTGAGCTACACTACCAGTGTGTGTGTAGTAAAATATACCTAAAATTTACTATTTTAGTAATTTTTAAAAGTAGCCTGTGCAATCATCACCTCTCTCTAGTTGTAAAACATTTTCTTCCTTTTTTGTGGTACTAGAGATGGAACTCATGGCCTTGCACATGTTAGACCAGCTCTTTACCACTGAGTTACATTCCCAGCCCCAGCCCCTCCTAAGTTGCCAAGGCTGGCCTCCAACTTGTGACCATCGGCCTCCTGAGTAGCTGGGATTACATGTGTGTGCCACTGTGTCTAGCTTCTAGAACACTCTCATCACCCAAAAGGAAACCTATCCTCAGAACACGCAGTCACTTTCCATTTCCCCCTCTCCGCTAACAAAAACTAATCTTCCTTTTGTCTCTGTGGATTTGCCTATTCTGAGCACTTCCTATAAATATGATCATATGATGTGATCCTTTTGCATCTGGTTTCTTTCACTTAGCGTGTTTTCAGTTTATCGACATTGTAGAACGCATCAGGACTTCATTTCTTCTTAAGGTGAAATACTAGTCCACTGTATGGACAAACACTTTTTTTTTTTTAAATCCATTCATCAGTAGTTGGGCATTCACAGTGCTTTAGTCTTTTGGTTCTTGAGTAATGCTGCTGTGAGCACGCATGTGCAAAACTGTTTGAATATATGTCTTTGATCTTCTGGGGTACACGTAGCTATAGAGGGGAATTGGTGGGCCACATGACAATTCCATGCTTAACAATGCTGTTTTCTACAGCATCTGTGCCATTTTACATTCCCAGTGACACAGGAAGGATGTCCTTTGGACTTTTAATGACATGAAGACTTTGAACAAAAAATTAATAAAAATCTTTTCTCATCCATGAAGAAATGACCTCAGGTTAATTTTGTTTCCCTGGAAACCTGACATAATTCAGCTGTTACTAGGAGATAGACTGGCCCACTGCACCTGGTCTAGGAAGACTGGAAATGTACCATACATATCCAGCAGGAAACCAGAGCTCTGGTGCTTCCTGGAGTGATCTTGCAAGTGGGTATGTTCCTGACTAGTATTCTAGCAATGCTCACGAGACGATATCAATATCTGTTTCTTTTTGGGATGTGGGGCTCCTGCACCTATTCATGTGATCTTATTCCTTCCCATCTCAGCTGTTATCACCTGGAGGAGCAGTGAGGACCTCTAGTGAAGACAAGCCTGATGTTGATCTGCCTTGTGCAGCCTATTTGGCTGTGAAGTGTCCACCTGAGCCCTCGGTGTGACACATACAGGTTGCCCAGGGGAGTTTGGATGTCAGCATGAGTTTCAGTGCTGGCTCTGATACTTCCTGATATGCAACCTTAACCAGGGGGTTATAATACTACTCTTTGCCTCTGTTAAGGCTCTGGAACAGGGGCAGATTGCAGTGCCTTTCTCACAAGGCTGTGGTGAAGAACAAAGGAACTACACACAGTTCATGCCCAGCAATGCTACTCTAACCCTGGCCTTCACTGGATCTCACCCTTCATGTGTTCTGGGTCGCTAAATCCAATGCATACTTCCGATTTTTTTCCTACAAACTCTTCTCTTAGCACCCTCTTAACACATTACCCTGCACCCAAGGTTATGAACACAAATGCCCAGAGGGGAAAGAGGCATTTTTGAAAGTCAGGGATATGTGAGCATGAACTAGGCATTAGATATTACAGAATGTTAATGCTGTGAAATGTGATAATGGCATGATTATATAACAAAATAAGTCCTTATCTGTTAGAAATAGATTAAAAAAATGTATGGTAGCCATGCACAGTGGCACATGCCTGTAATCCCAGCAGCTGGGGAGGCTGAGGCAGGAGGATTGTGAGTTCAAAGCCAACCTCAGCAACTTAGTGTGGTCATAAACAACTCAGAGACCCTGTCTCTAAATAAAATACAAAAAGGGACTTGGGATGTGCTCAATGATTAAGTGCCCTGGTTTCAATCAATCTCTGGTACCAAAAAAGAAAAAAAAAAAAAAAAAGAAAGAAAATAGAAAAGTACAGGAAACATGACATAACATGACATCTGGGATTTGTTTACTCTAAAAAGAAAGAAATAAATAAAGAGATAAAAGGAATCAACATCAGATGAAGTGTTGATCACGCTCAAGTGGAGAGATGGGTCAGTGGAGTTCATGAGTGCCTATTACTCTATGGAAAATCTCTCCCCCAAAGAAAAAACCCAGAAGAATGTCCATAACGTCTGGCAGATCAAGTACATAGAAGAGGGCCTGCTGGAGACTAAGAGCTTACAACCTATTTAATTTATGACAGTGGCAATTGGTCCCAGATGATTTTTGTCAGGGTACTGGAGCCAAAGGTTGCCGAATTTTGGAATTTTTCTTCCAAGACAAGCTCGAATACCAGATGTTTACATGGAAATAATTGGCCAGTAATGGACATTTTCAAAAAAGGAAGCTCAGGCCAAAGAGAAAACATTTGTTGAGTCTGGCCCACAGCAAAGGTTGAAAACTTTGCTGGTGGGGGAGAAACCATGGGTTCAGAAAGCATGGGTTCAAGTTCAGATCTTCAATTCTCTTAAGCCGGGTGGACTATGGGCAAGATTAGTTCTCTCTTCAACTCTGGGTGCTGTTACTAAAATTATGACAATAATCTCGCAATTGTTCTAGGGGTTAAGTGAGATCACGTTTTGCATAGAGGCTGGCACTTCAGAAAGTACCCAATAAACATCAGCTATTATACCATTATTGCTGTTTCAGGACATCCTATTTCTAACCAGCCTCCAAGTGTGGGGGTTCTCTGTACTTTGTCCCAGATCCTCTTATCTGAATCTATACAGTGACACTTCCAGTCGCTCCTACAGTTCAATTATCTTTCTGTCCTGAAGTACCGGCCCAAGTAGCACTGGACTCTGGCACACTGCTTTAGCGGACTCCAGGGCTCTCACATGGCACAATCAACTCATAGTCTTTCCTCCAGTTTTGCTCCTCCTGGATTCGCCATGCGGGGACAGTCAGTCACCCAGCCATTTGGCCAGATGCCAGAACAAGTCCTTGCCCTCTCAATCCTCCAAACCTGTACCCACAGCAGGAAGCCAGAGCTCTGGGTCTTCCTGGAGTGATCTTGCAAGTGAGCATGCTCCTGCCCAGCACTCTAGAAGCAATGCTCACGAGACGATATCAATGTTTCTTTTTGGGATGTGGAGGGCTCCTGCACGTTTTCACGTGATCTTATTCCTTCCCATCTCAGCTGTTATCACCTGGAGGAGCAGTGAGGACCCCTACTGAAGACAAGCCTGATGTTAACCCCCTCCTCTCCAGACCCACAGCTGGCCCCAGACTCCTGCTCTCCTCCTTAAAGTCTGGGCTCCTCACACCTTGGAGGACTCTGCGAGATCAAGGGAGCCCCACGAGGGAATTCTGCGTTACTTTTGGGATTACAGAAAATTCCAGGCGCTCTAATTATCCACGGGAAGCCCAGGAGGATCCCTGAGGGATCACGAGAGTCCTAGGAAGTTCTGAGGAAATCCGGGGGTACAGGGGCCTCAAGAGGAACTTAAGGGGCCCTGAAGCATCATGGGACCTCCTGGAGTATTTTGAGAGCCAGAGAGATCACGGGAGCCCTCGGAGGAAGTGTGGGGCTGCAGGCAATTACGGGAAGTTCTGAAGTATCTAAAGAGCCGAGCTCCCTCGAGCCCCACAAACATTAAGGAGCCTCTAAGGAGGCACGGAGACGCCGCGCAGGTCCTGCAGGTCTCCAGGTGATCAAGCGAGCTACACAGGGATGCTAAGGAGGGGACCTGAGGATTCACCACAGGGCGTTAAAGATGGTGGAGCACAAGAACCACTAGGGATCTGCAGCAGCAGCCGGGTGCTAGGCAGTGGCGGGAATCCCGGGAGCCGAAAGGGGCGGAGCTGCGTTGCGGCCGCGGTGGATCACGGGAGTTTGCGCGGAAGACGCGGCAGCGAGGTCGGGGGAAGGCAGTGGGCAGTGCCGGCCATAAGTCCTCACCGTTGCGCATGCGTAGCTCTCGGGCACCGGGCCGTATTCCAGCGTAGTGAAGATCTCGTGCGCGCGGAGCTCTGCGCGCGTCTCAGCCATCGCCTACCCGCACCGTCTTCCGCTAAGAACTGCTGGCCGCTCTGGCCAAAAGAAGGAACCTGGAGGTCCGAAGGGCGGCACCGCCCCCTCCGATAGGGCGGGACCAACGAGAAGGGGCGGGGCGACGGGATGGGGCGTGTCCCGTCCATTACCTCCCGCCTTGGGGGCAGATGACCCCGCCTACAGGCTGGCGCTGGGAAATGTAGTTCGGGACATGTGAGCGCAAACCTGGAGGCAGTGGAGACCGGAAATGAGGGTGTCCTGCCAACACTAGGGCTTTGGGTTTAGAAGGGTGGCCCGTAGTGATGTGTCTTCCCGCCTCTTTTTTGCATTGGAGATAGGAAGTGCAGCTTTTAGTTCCAAATACATGTGCTAGAGATTCGGATCTAGTGTGTGGCTAACCCTGAAGGCGCTGTCATCTGGTCAACAGTGGTTGTTAGGCAAAGGTGGGAGGGTGGCATTTGGACATCGTCCTGAGGACATATTTTTGATTGGTTGTGGGGAGAGGCGTGGCTGCAGACTTGGCACGTGATTTAAAGGTTGCCTGCTTGGTGAATGAGCGTTGGGGTAGTCGGAAGTGTGGCTAACTCTGGTCGCTCGGCTACAAAGGACGGGAAGTATGGCTTCCATTCACACTCTTGGCAAGTAGGATCGAGAGTGCGTCCTGGAATACTGGTTCCCAAAGGATTTCACGACCGTGTCTGATTTAGAATGAAATTGTTGCCTCAGGCCAGTTTCTTAGGTTTTCGAATAGAAAAGTCGGTAGAATAGTGAGTAGGTCGTCGACTGAGGGGCAGGAAGCAGGCTCCAGAGTTCGGATCCCGGGAAAAGCTCGCCACGTCGAAAGTACTGAGGACACCTAGGTTTCCTTCCTAGGGCCATGGCGGACTCGAAGCTGCTGGTGCCAGAGCTAAGCGAGACAGAGACGATGGATGATGAGACAGCGCGGTTCGAGGAGCTGCTGCTGCAGGTGCGGACTGACTGGACTTCTGGGTCCCTGTGAACTGGGACATGTTTTGGTGCTCAGAGATGGGAGTACAGCTCCCGGGATGCACTACGGTGCTAACAGGCCTATGGGAATTGTAGTTGCTTGGCTTAAAGTTTGCTAGGTTCCAAGAAATGATAGGAATGGGTTTGGGGTTGTTTTTTGTGTACTTGAAGGAAGAGGAGGAGGAGGACGTAGAATGTCTAATTTGGGGGCGGGGTGCCGGGGATTGAACTCAGGGCACTGGACACTGAGCCACATCCCCAGCCCTATTGTGTACTTTATTTAGGGACAGGGTCTCATTAAGTTGCTTAGCACTTCTCTTTTGATGAGGCTGGCTTTGAATTCGTGATCCTCCTGCTTCACTCTCCCCAGCTACTGGGATCACAGGTGTCTACCACCAGGCCCGGCTTTTGTGCCAACTATAACTCTCATCATATATAAGAATTGCTATAGGGCTGGGGATGTAAGTTAAGTGATAAAGTTCTTGCCTAGCTTGCAAAAGGCCTGAGTTCCATCCCCGGCACTAAAAAAAATAAAATTAAAAAAAAAAAACTCTATAAATATTTAAGGAATAAATGAGGGATCTGATTATACAGACTCCAAGCCTGAAGACTGTTTTCTCCACAGGCTTCCAAAGAACTCCATCAAGCCCAGACAACCAGATCAGAATCTACACAGATCCAACCTCAGGCTGGTGAGAAAAACAGAAACCCAGAGAGGAAGAGTCTCAGAGAGAAACTGAGACCCAGAGAGAACAAGTATAGATTCTGAGGCCAGGGGACAGAAGAAGGAGGAAAGAAGGGGTGGGGATGTAGCTGAGTGGTAGAGAGCTTGGCTAGCATCCCCATCTGAACCACAGGGAGTAAAGAACAAAAAGGAGCAAAACACTTGAGTATAAAGGCTTGGTGTGTGTGTCTGATGTCCAGGGAAGTCACTAGGGCTGGTGACCCAGAGAGAGCTGATGGAGGATGAAGAGCACAGTGGAAGGAGGACAGAGACTCAGCAAGAGGGTCAGGGGTCTTAGGAAGGAGAAGGGGAACAGATCCAGAAAAAGAATAAAGAGCCCCCGCAGAAGGGGAAACAGACCCAGCAAAAGGGTGGATGGAGACTGAGGCTGTGCAGAGACAGATGGTCAGGCCAAACCCACTCCCACAGGTTTCTGCATAAAGACCAACTCTTCAGAAGGGAAGGTTTTCATCAACATCTGTCACTCTCCCTCCATCCCACCTCCGGCTGACGTGACCGAGGACGAGCTGCTTCAAATGCTGGAGGAGGACCAGGCTGGGTTTCGCATCCCCATGAGTCTGGGAGAGCCACATGCTGAACTAGATGCAAGTCAGTGCCCTCAGAGGACCTAGGAGTCTGGCCTCTTAAGTCCCTTCTTCCCTAAAACCCAAGATCCAGGACCCAGGATCCTTTTCCCTAGAAATCTGCTCCCCAGTCCTTTTGTGGGTGGCACATCCCTAGTCTCCTGAGGAGATCTGGTTCTGCCCACCTGGCCAGGCTGGCGCTCCTGCCCTGCCCAGAGAGGGGAGGGGTGGGCAGAGGGCTCTACACTCATCAGCTCATTCTGTGGCCTTAGTCCCAGGCCAGCTTTCACTCTTTTGTCTGTGCTTTCTCCTCTGCCCTTCTCCCTTATCTCCACCTCTGCCTCGTCCCTCTTTCTGCCTCTGTATCTTTTTCTGCAATTCACATGTGTCTCCAGAAGCCTGGGACTAAGCTTTGGGCAGTGCCAGAGGAATGGGACTTATCACACCCAGATCTCACCCTTGAGAAACTCCCAGTCATGGCTACAGGCAAAGGGCGTGGGTGTTATTTATTTATTTTGGGGGGTACCTGGGATTGAACTCAGGAGCACTCGACCACTGAGCCATATCCCCGGCCCTGTTTTGTATTTTTTATTTAAAGACAGGGTCTCACTGAGTTGCGCGAGCACCTCCCTGTTACTGAGGCTGGCTTTGAACTCGAGATCCTCCTGTCTCAGCCTCCCAAGCCTCTGGGATTACAGGCAGGCGCCACTGTGCCCAGTGATGGATGTTATTTCAATGTGGCGTGATTTGGGCTGCTTTGGAGGAGATGCAGCCCTAAGGGACTCTTCAGTGGCCTGGAGGGAGGCTTCTTGGAGGAGTTGTCAGATATAAGATTTGAAGGGACAGGATTTTAGAGGTGCTGGGGATAGAATTATTAAATTGCACTGGCTAGTAATCAAGAATGAAAGAAGTTGGAAAGGCTGAGGTTACTGAGGAGGAATAAGCTCCCTAGAGGTTGGAGGGATACACGGCACAGGGCCTGCCTTGCAAAACCAGGCAGGAGGCCTCAGACCTTGACTTGAGGGCTGTAAGCTGGGGAAGGGCAGGGTCTGCCCTGGGGACATGATCTTTGGAACCAGTGGTGAGAGGCTAGAAGACTGGACGCCAGTTTGAGAGTCCACTGGACTGTGTGTTGAACTGTCACTCCCTGATGTCTCTGTCTTTGGCTGCTATCCCTGGTTGGTGTTTCTTTGCCTGTGCCTGGGCTGTGGGGTTACTCTGGGGGGTTGGAGGAATCTCATCCACTTTCTCTCCCTGCAGAAGGCCAGGGCTGTACCGCTTACGATGTGGCTGTCAACAGTGACTTCTACTGGAGGATGCAGGTTTTGTGGAATTGTGGGTAAGGCCTGGGTAGGGGCCTCTCCCTCCAGCCCTCAGCCCTACTGCAACTCTTCTCTTTCTCAATGTAGAACAGCGATTTCTTGCGGGAGCTCGTGGTTACCATCGCCAGGGAGGGCCTTGAGGACAAATATGGCTTGCAGCTGAATCCAGGTGAGGGTCGAGGCCCGGGCCTTGGGAAAGGAATGGAGCCCAGAGTGACCCTTGGGAGAGATTAGTTTGGTTCTGGAGGCCAGGGAGCGGGTGGAGCTAGTCCAGGGCATTCAGATAGGGGCGGGGCCTGGAACATCTGGGGTGGGCTTTATTGGTGCATGCTGGGAAGGGTGGGTCTTCCTCCAGACAAGTTTCAGGTATGGGCTGAACCCAGGCCTCCAGGGAGGGGGCGGAGCTTCTCTGGCCCTGCGGTCAGCTGGGCTGGACCTCCTGAGGGAGCAAAGGGACCTAGTGATTTTTCACTCTGCAATCCACCCTCAGAATGGCGCATGTTGAAGAATCGGACGTTCATGGGCTCCATCTCGCAGCAGAACATCCGCTCCCAGCAGCGTCCTCGGATCCAGGAGCTGGGGAACCTGTATACGCCCAGCTCCCGGCCCGCTGAGGAAGGGTGGGCCTTCACAGATCCCCTAAAGACTCCCCTCCACCTCCGAACCCCTCTTTTGGTCCTCCTTCCCCACACTGGGCTCTGCCCTGGTGCTCTTGCCTGGTAGCAGGGCCTGATGGAGGCAGACGGGGAACAGCAGCCAGGCCAGGCACCTGTGCTGACAGAGGCCTGGCAGCTGTCCTCAGTTCTGGACCTGGCTCTTCCACAGCCCTGAGAAACCTCACCTGAACCTTTGGCTGGAAGCGCCTGACCTCCTCTTGGCTGAAATTGACCTCCCCAAACTGGTGAGTGCAGAGCTGCTCTGGAATGGTGGGGTGATGTGCACTGCCAGCCCTGTGTAAGCTGTGCCAGGAGGCCAAAAGGCCTGCCTTCTGCTGCTCCCTTGAGGATGCCTGAGGGAATTCCTTAATTACTGTCTTTTGCCTTTTTTCTGGGAGATAGGTGTGTGTGTGTGTGTGTGACAGAGAGAGAGAGAGAGAGATGTGTGTACTCAGAATTAAAACCAGGGCCTCAGACATGCTATGGCCCTTTAAATGTAGTTTCTCAATATGTGAGGCTTCTGTTTTGGGGCCATGTTATTATGGTCCCATTGCTGGAGAGGGTGAGCTGATTACACCACATCTGCAGGATGGAGCCCTGGGGCTGTCGTTGGAGATCGGGGAGAACCGCCTGGTGATGGGGGGCCCCCAGCAGCTGTATCACCTGGATGCTTACATCCCCTTGCGGATCAACTCTGAGGAGAGCAAGGCAGCCTTTCACCGGAAGAGAAAGGTACCTGGGGGAGGGGATTGAGGAAGCCGGGACATGGGGTGCCTGGACCCTTGGGTCTGAGGGAGAAGGGGCTAGGGCTGCACTTCCAGGTCCTGAGTCCTCATTCTTTTTATTCTCTCAGCAACTTATGGTGGCCATGCCCCTTCTGTCGGTGCCTTCCTGACCAGAATTTCTCCCCGTGCATCCAAATGTAGAGAAAAGGCTGGTGGCTTCTCTAGCTTGAAATAAAAGATACTTGCCTTTGTTCTGTCTCTGGCTAGGGATATGTGGGTGAAGAATGGGAGGGCCGCTCGGGAGGCTGAGGCAGGAGGATCTTGAGGCAGTCTCGCAACTTATTAAGGCACTTAGCAACTCAGCAAGACCCTGTCTTTAATAAAATATGAAAAAAAGGGCTGGGGATGTGGCTCAGTGGTTAAGCACCCCTGGGTTCAATCCCTGGTACCAAAAAAGAAAAAAAGGGGGCTGAGGACATAGCTCAGTTGGTAGAGTGCTTGCCTCGAATGAACAAGGCCCTGGATTCAATCCCAGCACCACACACACAAAAAAAGCCGGGAGAGAAGAGGGACGTTGGATTGTAGTCCCAGAGTCCCCACCCCAGCTCAGGCCTTATCCTCTTCCCATGGACCCCTTCCCAGCCTCCTGTTCTCTCTTTCTCTTCATTCGTCTTGAGCTGACCCTGTTCTTTTCTGGTTCACAGCCCTCTGGCTCCCCAGAGCCCCCAGGAGAAGGTCCAGGCTCCTTAGTAGTCAAGGCTCTGTGTGGCCTGGCCCCCTTCCCTGCCTCCATATGATCTCTTCTTGTTGGGACCCAGGCACACTGATAGTGGCCACACCCTTTATTCCCACCTTCTCTTGGCTTCTGTGTTACTTCCACTTAGCATCCTCCAGTTCATCTGCCAGTTTTCAGTTCTCTTCAGCTCCCATGCGGTGGTTATGCATTCAAGGGGGCACTTCCTGACCAGAATTTCTCCCCGTGCACCCAAATGTAGAGAAAAGGCTGTTGGCTGTTGGCAATCACACTGTCTCTAGTGCCTCCTGCCCCTCACCTGAGGGCTTCCCATTCCTGGAACCCTGCTCCATATCACAGTTACACCAAACTCTGAGACCTCAAGCCATCAGGTTGTTGTCTGCCTCCTGACTTTGCAAGTGCTGTTTCCTGTGTTGGAGATGTGCTCTCCACTCCACCCTCCCACACATGCATTGTCCCAGAGGCCCCTTTTTGGTGCTGGGGATTGAACCCAGGGCCACTGGAATGCTAAACTCATCCAGCACCACTGAGCTACATCCTAGCCACCCACATCCTTTTTCTGGAACATTGCCTGAAATTTTTTTCAGATTTTATACTTTGATCTTCCCTGGCTGAGTTGAATTCTCAGTGCGACAATGCCTGATTCTTAGTAGGAACTCAGTGTTTGTTAATGAATTACTACCAACACTCTGCTTTCATGGTAAGCACTAGGAGGATAAATAAGAGGAGGAACCTCATTGGTAAATTTTGGAAGAATAGGGAGGAGGCCAGTGTGGCGGGAACCAAGTAAGCTGGGGCTGGAGGGAGTAGCCCTCTGATAGGTCTGTGGCCCCAGAGTGAATAAGCGAATGTGGCTGCTGTGTCCACCAGAGGGCGCAACGCACCCTCATCAGTTTGGCTCCAAGGACTACATCTCCCAACTGCCCTTCCCCAGCAGAAATGGGGTCAGATGGAACTCTCGTGAGGTCCAGCGGCCTCTGGGACTTGTAGTTCGGATGGGGACCCTCCCTCAGCAGCCGAGGAACTCATTCCTACGTCTGGAAAAAGTGTGGAGCTGCGTCCTTTCCTCTTTCCTTGGTCTCCATGGTGATGGTTCCGGCGAGGGCCAGGATTTGGCAGCAACGGGGCCCCCTTCCCACTCCCTCCCCTGCACCATCTGCTCCTCCCTCACACCTGGCCGCGAGCCCCGGCCTCCGCCTCCGCTCCCAGCCCCGGACTCGCTGCCACAGGGTGGCGCGTCTGAATGGCTTCGCCGCTTCTCCCCGGACCCAGGAGTTCCGACTCAGTCTTCTCCCGGGGATCCGGGAGTTTGTCAAGCACAGACAAAACTGTGAGAACCAGAGACCCAGCCAGTCCCTCCTGGAGGCCAGAGGACACGGTGGTCGGTGGTTTCCCGGCTTCTCGGCGCCCGCCGGCCGCGCCGTCTGCTCCTCTCACCTCTTCGCTGGCCGCATCATGAAAATTTAATCTCAAATGCATTTGCGGCCCGATGCGGGGAGGCGGTGGGGAAAGGAGCACCCAGCTGGAGCCTGGATCTGGATGTGGACTCAGCCCAGAGGGGCTGGGCTGGAGAACTGTCAGGGGCGGGGCTGGAATCCAGGGGTGGAGGCAGAACTCAGAGGGCGGGGACAGTCCCGGGCCAAAGCAGAACTCAGGGCTAGACAGACCCCAGGGGAGGACAGGCTCGGGGGAAGGGGACAGATCCCTGAAGGCAGCGAGAGAACTCTGAGGGCGGGGGTACCTAGGGGGCGGGGACACAGGCGGAGCCCGAGTTCAACCCGTGAGGACACCACCTAAAGAGCGGAGTAGATCCCAGGGAGCTTGGACGGAGCCCAAAGCGCAGCCATTCCAGGGGCATGGGGAGAGAACACCGAGTAGGGAGGGAACCACGGAGGTCTCAACGGGCAATGGGGGTGGCTATAACAGTAAGGAATGAAATTCAGAGGGTGGAATGAAACTCAGGGAGAGAAGGAACTGGGAGAGGGTCGAGGCGAGCGGAGAAGTAGAACTGAGAGGCTGCGGGATTCAGCGGGGGGGGGGGGGGGGAAGGGAACCCAAGGATGAAGAAATTGGGTGGAGTGAAACTGGAGGGGACAATGTGTGAATAGATGAAGGGGCGGGAACTGAGAGAAAGAATTCCCTAAAGGAGAGGAAAACGACGTCTGAATGAGAACGCTGGACCCGGAGATGGGGCGGGATGGGAGTGAATTGAGTGGGGGCCAGAATTCGGGGCGAGGTGGAAGTGGGCTACAGAAGCAGTTAGGGACGGGAGTGGAAGGATGGAATTCCAGGGGATGAAAGTGCAGGAGGGAACTCGGGGGGCGCTGAAGTGGGGAGCCAAATCGAGGATGAGGAAGAGAATTCAGAAGCGGAGAGAAAATCTGGGTGGGAGGACCCAGGGAGGGTGAAACGCGGGAGGCATCTTGGGGGGCGATGTAATTCCGAGTGAGTTCAGAAATTAGAGGCGAAGTCTTGGAATGGACAGGCGGAGACAGAGGGTGGGAGGGCTGGGAAAGGGGCGTGCCTGAAATATAAGGGGCGGGATCTAGCGTGTGCCGAGGCGGGGCCTCTCTGCGCCCCTGCCCCGCCCCGCCCCCGGTGCTGAGTCCTGTGACAACCCCCAGGCAGCCGGCACTCGCAGCCTCCTTCCCCCCGAGCGGAGCTGCGGGGCCGGCCGGGCCGGGGCGGACCCCGGGAGCCCGGACGCGGCCGCCCGGGCCCGCGGGCGGGGGGATCGGTGGGGGCACCGGCGTCAGGGGCAGTCACCATGGAGTTCCGCCAGGAAGAGTTTCGGAAGCTAGCGGGTCGCGCCCTCGGGAAGCTGCACCGGTGAGCCTGGTGGAGGTCTTGGGAGGGGAAGAGTGTGAGGGTCCCAGGAGAATGCTCATTCCCACCTGGTAGCAGGACAAACAGACAAGGCAATACCCTAGGGTGGTGTGTCGGGGGTCCTCCCATCTGTCCAGTTTTCTCGCTTAGTTTCCAAAAGCTCCGTTCTCCCCGTCCAGTCTGTCCATTACCTCATTCATTTCTGTCTACACCTCACGGCACCCTGGGCGCTGCTCTTTCTCTGGGACTGTACATCTCCCTTGCTCAGGGTCTCTGTTCTGTTTCTGAGGGTCTCTGTACCACTCTCTCTGGGTCTCTTCACATTTATCTCTGGGTTCCTGTCCCCTCTTTTTTTTTGGATCTCCATCCCAGTCCCAGGGCTTGCTCCTCCGGCTCTTCTCTGACCATTGCTGTCAGTAGGTCTCTATCATAAACTCCTGACTCTGGACCTGACTCTGGGTCTTTCCTCTTCACTGAATCTATGGTACCACCTTCTTTGGGATTCTGTCTCCTCTTTTTCTGGATCTCTGCTTCCTGCCTCTCTGAGTTGTATTTCCCCACCCTGGGTCTCTCCATCTTTCTATGTCTTTCTCACTTTCTGTCTCTCGGGGAGTTTAATCTGAAGCTAAAGCGGATTGGGGCCCACAGGTCCTTGTCCTTGACGGGGGTTAAGCTGGGGGGGCAGAGGCCAGGGTATCCTGGGTCCCTGAGGGAGAAGAGAGTTGCAGTCCAAAAAATTAGGCTTCTTGGGTAGGACAGACTTCCCAAAGGATACAGGCTAGAGCTGAGAGGGACTTCCTCCCATCCAGGGTGGTGACTCCAGTGACCTGGGTGTCCCTCAGGGTAGTATGGACACATCCCCTGCAGTCTCTCACCCAACCCCAGCTCTGGCTCCAAGTCAGAGAAATTACTCAGCTGCGGAGAAGCCTAAAAATACCTGGCCACAGTGCAGGGAGGAGACAGCCTCCTCAACACTGTGCCTCTGCCCCCATGCCCTCAGACCCTGTGCCCTTGACCCACAGCCCCAGTGCCACCTTTGGTTGATCCTCAGTTCATCTCACTACGCCATTCAAGTCCTTTCTAAGTCTGACATTAGTCCTGCTTGCTGCAGATCACCTCCTAGCTCCAGAGTTACCCCACCCTTTAGTAACATGAGAGACAGGAATAAGGCTGGACAGAGGGAGGAGGCAGGGGGATGGCGCAGTGTGGGGGGGGTGTGGAGGGGGAGCTGAGAGCACTTCACTCCTTCTTTTTCCCAGTTTTCCATCCCCTCCCCACCCTTTTTCTCGCCTCCTTTCACGAGTTTCTCAAAATACATCAGTGCGAAGTCAGGAGAGCGGGAGAGAGAGAGAGAGAGATGTGCTGGTGGAGGGGGCTGGGGGGGCGGCAGCAGGAGGGATGTGCTCCTTAGGCCCCCTCCCTCAGTCTGTGCTTCTCAGTTTCTCATCTGTGTCTGGGTTTCTCTCAGTCTATCTCTGCCTTACCCTCACCTCTCTGAACTGCCTCCTCGGTCCCCAGAGACCCCAGAGTTCAGAGCTCAGGCCAGGACACTGAGCAGGGAGTTAGTTGGTGCAGAGAAGAACATTTGCATCCAAAGCCAGGGTTCCCTTTGAAGGCTGGAGAAGAGGGGAGAATGCCTCTTCTAACACAACATCCCATGTCATCTTCTAG